AAGTGTCTTAAAAAGAAAAGTGAAAGCCTTTATAGCTATTCCTGGTAATTGTGTATTACCTTCCAATTTATATATTCTCTCCTCTGCCGGTTGAGATAGTTCTGCTATTTTACCTAATGTAAACGGATATACCCCTGTTATAGGTTTATTGTTGCTTATATTAAGCAGATTGGTGAATTGCTTTTGATGTAACAGTTTGAATATTTGTTATACTCCAGAGAGTATTCTCAAATATGCTTTCACATATCTTGTTAATGTTCAAACAGGTTTTTTATACTTATTAATAATTTTGTTTCTTTATATATACTCTACAAAGGAAGTTGATGACTTTGTTTATATTGTATGTTGCAAATCGATCCTGGTAATAAATATGTATTATCACAAGGTTTTTAGATTGTTTTGTTTTAAATAGAATACAGGTTTATAGCCCTCTATTTTGGGTATATATCTTTATAGAACTTTGTGAGTTTTAACAGTTTTGCGAAATCTATAAAGTTGTTTAAGACTTGACATAGATATTGGATATCTTTCTCATTTGTTAATAATGGTTTAGAGGGCTTGTTTAGCTATTGATCAAAGATGCCTTTTGCCTTTCAATAGTGAATCAGATGGACAGGGGTTTTGGGTTTTTTGCAGAAGCATTCTATATCTCTTGAATACCCGAATTTCCTGTGATACCAGCCGAAGTCCCTATATAAAGTTTGGATAGTTATCAGTCTATATAGAATTACTTATGGGAGTAGAAGCTCTGGTAATAATTTGACTTTGTATATCAGGTCTCATTGTTTATACTACAGCGAGAAAGCTGGTTTATATGATATCCATTATTCTTGGCGGGTTTCTTTTTTAAGGATATATGTGATTGATTTTACCCTATTGTATATAAATTAAGATACTGGTTCAATGTCCCAACTAGGTTTCTTGATACCAAGATTGGCCAGATAATTGACTGCTTTGTTTCCCTCGATGTTTTTATGTCCCAGTAACCATTTGACACAAATATCATTGTCCTGTATAACCTTGTAACAATTATTGAATACCTATTGTAATAACATAGAGATATTAGTCCTTATACCTCAGATAACCGAAATACTATCGATGTATATCCAGATTTTCTGGTTAGTATATCTGATGTTCTTGAGGGTGTATTCCAGGCTTTTCTATACTCTAATAACTTCTATATTGAAGATATGAAACTGAATATTGATAAAGCTGGAGTCTGCTAATATCTAGTTTTTGCTTAGGTATATTATATACCTATAATCTATGATATATTTTCCTTTCATATAGTTTTCCGATCTATTCGAGAAAATAATAATGTTTGTGTCTGGCAGGTTTTTCTATTAGGTGTTGAAGGCTTTTATAATTGTTTTCTTATCGATCCTTTCTGTTAGATCTATTCGGTAGCCCGGTGTGTACTGTAATACCTCAAATGTAGGCCTTGGGATTGGAAAAAGGAGGAAACCCAGTTATTAGACTTTGGTCTTTGCTCTTTATCTTATACCTGTGTTTTGTTCTTTAACAATTATAGGGGATTCGATTCTTTTCATAAACAGATGAGTTATATTTATACTTTGGAGATGTAAGGCGAATCTCAGTTTGGTTTTTCTGAGGGCTGCTATAACTAAGGGGAGATCTACTTTATAATAAAGGGCGGTTATTGGTGTAGTTTTTCAGGCTGATATAACTCTTTGTATTACTATTGTAAAAACCTTTTTGATTTGTATTATATATTAGCCAAGACAGACGTTAACCTTTGCTTATCCTGGTTTTAGTTTTCGCACTGCCTTGAATCTATCTCTGTATCAGGCCTCGGTCCTGTACAGAAGTAAGGAAAATATGTATATAGTTATTGCCTTGTGTATAGTATATACTAGAGGGCTTTGTATAACTTTGGCCAGACCTTGTATATGCTTTGTTACCGCTTTGGCTTTACTTGTGTGTTCAATGATATATCTACGAAAGTTCAGCTTTCTATCGAACTATACTCCCAGTTATCTCAGTGTTGAACAGGTATTTGTTTCTATAGTTATTATCAGGTGAATTATAAGTTTTTCATTGACTCTGATAACAGGTGCTGTATTGCTATTATCTATGGAGATATAGATCATTTCTAGCTTCTCTGGGGCAAAGATGATACAATTATTTGTTTTCTATTTTATAACATTTTGTATATCTGTAATGAAATATCTGGTGTTTTTTTTTAGGGTTTTGGATACTTTATATAGGTATATATCGTTTGTGTATCCAAACCTGAGGGAGGTGTCTTCTGAGAGTAGTTTTGTTAGGTACAGCATATATAGGACTAGTGATAAGGGGGAGCTTTGTAATGTTTTATAAACTATTGGATGTTCTCTGGTTGTAATTTGCTTTAGCTATACTCTGACTTTCCTTTCTGTCAGGAAGAAGTCAACTAATAAAAATAAATCCTTAGACTAGCCTTGTTTCGTTATTCTAGCAAGGAATCGTCTTTTGAGTAATATATCGAAAACGCTTTATATATCTATAATAACTATAATTACTTTCTTTCTAACTACTAATACTGTTTCCATATTATATATAAAAGATGCTACCAGATCCATTATGAAGTATTTGGATAGGGCTCTGCTGTGTTGAGGGCTGATAATGCTGTATTTCAAAACTGTTCAGCCTAATCATTTAACGATTATTCTTTCCAGGCCTTTTTCTATACAAAAGAGCAGGGCAATGGGTCTTTATGATCTTGTGGATATCATGTCCTTTTTTCCGATTTTGGGTAGTATAGCTACTTCAGCTAATTTCCAGGTTTTCGGGAAGTGACTGTTGATTGATTGATTGATTGATTTAATTTACGTCCATCTTCAGTCTAAGACTATATAGGACGGCTAGACCCTATAGGCACTAGCAGATAACTTTTTATTTTACAAAAATAGATATGTTCGATTTGGGGAAGTGAAAACAAATGCTGGGGACCAATGCCCGCTTATTATACGCGTTGCATATAATAAGAAAATATGAATATCAAGGGTTATAAGAGGGTTACCCCTCTACCCTCTCTTTTCTCCACTGCTACTTCTTCCTCTTCCACTACTGCTACTACTTCTTCCTCTTCTACTACTTCTTCCTCTTCAACTACTTCTTCCTCTTCAACTACTTCTTCCTCTTCAACTACTATTTCTTCCTCTGTTTCTTCTTGTTCAAGGGCTCTTGCTAAGTGCCATGCCCTTGTAGCAATTTTGGTGGTATTGATGAATTTGATAGCTAGTTCAATTCCTACTTTTGTATGTAGTAGGAATTGTATAGTAATCTTGGATAATGGTATATTTTTGAAAATCTCTTTTCTTTCTGTTTTATATATAGGACATATCGATTGCATCTACCAAACCAATTATAACCTTTCACTGAATTCTTTCAGCATGTTCATATTCGGCAAGTTTGGTTTTAAAGGTTTTTATTGCTGGGTTGGTGATATTGGTTTATGTTTTGTTTCCCAATATAAAGACTGGTGATACCTCGTTAGTAAAGATACACTGTTTTCTTTTTGAGCAGTTTTTAAGATTGGAGAGTATCTCTGGGGTTTGCGGATTGGTATGATTTGCGTTTTCCAGGTTGATAATCTTAGGCGGCGTTATGTGAGACACCATATTGACTCATAAAAAATGGTATATATTGTATATATTGTTATGACTCCATAGAGTTTGAATTCAGACCGAAATTCAACTTCTGGCGACCAGAAATTTTTCTTCGGAATATTGTGTTTGGGTGGGTCGTTAATAAGAGTACTATAGGAATAGCCATTATTGATCCGAACAACCCCACCGTGGTGAACCAACAACAAGAGTTAATGAGACTCTAAAGTTCAATTAAGAATAGAACCCAGATATATAGTCTGGTAGTACTTTGTGATTGATTATTCTAATCAATAGAGGAATATTAGAAGTATAGTCTAGGCTTATACAAGATCACGTGATATAGTTCATGTGACATTGTCTATATACACACATTTATACATATATCCAATCCTATTAGAATATCTCTAAGGATATACATACAATATTACTACAGTTATACCTATTATGATCTTAGTGATATTCCAACAATTATATATCAAATCAAATAAAATCAATTTCTTGAAATCGATTACTTGGAATTTGTAACCTGTGATCTATAAGCTGTAATTTATAAGCTCTAATCTATAAGCTAGATATAAATCATGAGTTGTAAGTAAGTAAACTATAGATTATGAATTTTGAACTATAAACTATAAATTGTGAATTGTGAGCTAGTATATGAACTTTAAATTATAAACTACAGATTGTGAACTGTAAATTGTGAATTGTGAATTATAAGCTATAAACTTTGAATCATAAGCTATAAATTGTAAATCGTAAATTGTGAATTATAAACTATAAGTTATATATTATAAGCTATAAGTTACTTGAGTATGAGCTATAAACTATAAATCGTAAACTACAAACTGTGAAATATAAACTATAATCTATAAACTACTCGAGTATAACTTGAAACTGCAAGCTATAAGCTATAAGCTATAAGCTATAAGCTATAATAAAACCTATTCTATTCTATTATATTAAATCATATTATTATCTCACATCACACCTACTCATTCATTACATCACACATTCATTCATTACACTTTCTATACTCGAGTGTATAAAGCAATAACTAACTAACTAACTAACTATATATTGAACAAGGCGCCAAAACAAAAAAGAAGAAAGGTTATGAAATAAATAATCGCTAAATCTAGTTGGAGAAAGAAAAGAGACTCTGGATATATATAGAATGAGAAGGAATAGTAACTGCATTCAAGTTAGCTTTATATTCAATGGTGAGTATTTGTACTATGGTATGATTAGTATATATGCAGAATATACGGAATATGTACGGAATATGGAATGAAACAAATGAGATATAGTTTTACATGAGTAGACTTGGATCACTATTGACTAGGTTTATTATTTGCTATCTGCTAACTACTGGTTGCTATCTGCTGTCTACTAATTACTGGTATCTCCATCCATCATGCTATCGTCATCTGAAGTCTCAGCAGAAGCTTGGACAGGAGGACCCAAACCTTTCAAATTCTGCTCATCTGTTCCGTCAACTTGTGCCGCACCACCGGTACCTTGTTCACGACGACGCTTATTCTTCTTTGATGGATCACGCCAATTATATTTACGCTTGACGCGATCGGGACCTGCACAGGTTGCCTTCTTGGCTTTCTTGGAGGGAGCTTCTGCTTCTGCATCAGGAGCACCAGACATATTACGATCCATGCCCCTAATACGTTCAATTTCCTCGAAACCATCACCGCGACGCTCCAACTCATCTAGACGCAAACGCTCCTCTCTCCACGCTGGACGGTCGCGAGTATTAATGGGGGCCGTGTAGGGGTGGGCATCATAGTGCATGGGGACTTGGAAACCGGAGCCGTAGGCATTGGCTTTCATGGCCTCCTTTTCGGCATCAAGACGGCGTTGGAGGGCCTTTTCGTGCTCGGTTGGGCCGCGGAAGTAATAATGGACGTCGTCGGCGTTGAAGAGGTCTTGAGGTTGGGTAACGGCGACTTCGGACATAAACTTATCTTCGGGGCGGTCGACATAGGGAAGTCTTCGGTCGATGACGCCGGGGGATTTGATCAGGTATGAGGGGGGTGGGGAGTCAAGATCGGGGGCGTAGGGATGGTAGGGTCGATAGATGCCATTGGGAGATGGGGTTCTTGGGGGTGGCACGGGATTGCGGATGCCGCTGGAGGATTGATGAGGGTTGAAAATGGAACGAGTGCGCTTGGTTTGGTGTGTTGAGCGTTGACCTAGACCTTGACGAGGATCTTCATAGGAGTCATCGGATGACTGTAATTTATGTATTAGTATATTTTCAAGTAGAACATAATAGAAAGGAATAGAAAAGATAGCGTAATCAACTTACACTCAACTCGCTCTCATCAAAATCATCAAAATCGTCATCCGAATCATCAGCACGACCTCGTCTAGCCATCGGCTTAGACTTGGACTTTCCACCCGACTTTTCACCCTTCTTGTCCTTATCACCCTTACCATCTTTGTCAGTAGAACCCGCAGCACCGTACCTATCCGCAGTATCAGTACCCGCACCTCTCTCAGAATAGAGTCTTCCGTACGCATCTCTAGCACCGCGCGGTCTCTCAATTTGAGCAACCGGAGCCGCAGCGCCAGTCGCAGCAGCAGCAGTAGCTCGACGCTCACGATCCTGCTTTAGAACATGGCTGGGTCTCAGATCTTCCTCATCCGAATCTTGGTCGCGTGGCAGAGGCATATTAGCGAAACCTCTGACGCCTAGAGGGCGGGAAGGAGGGTTTGAGGGGGAGACAAAGAGACCTGTTTCTTCTTGTCCTTGTTCTTCGGCAGAGGAGCGCAAGGCTTGAGAAGGGCGAGAACGGTGAAAGGAAGAGGTAGGAGGGTTTCGGAGGCGTGCAGTGGTGGATTGATGGGCATTGAGTGAGAAGGTGCGAGGGTTTGTGCTGCGGTTGAGGTTGGTGGAGGGGAAGAGGGGAATATCAGTGCGGTAATGGTCAGTCGAGGCGATATGAGAACGACCAGTGCGGTGATGATTATCCGAGGAGACGAGAGAATTACCAATGCGATGATGGCTAGTCGAGGAGACACGAGGCTCGAAAGCGCGGTCAAGGTTGGTTGAGGAGACACGATGATTACTAGCGCGATTAATATTGCCCAAATAATCAAGAGGACTAGCAGCTCGAATACTTCTAGCGGGAGGAGGACTAAAACGACGAGCTTCCATTGCGCGACTAAAAGTCGGAGGAGGACCGTTTGGACGACGATGGACTGGTCGATTAATAGCTGGGATAGCAACCTCTGGACGTGTAGTGTTGACTGGACGAGCACGAGCCACAGCTGTATCAGCAGTTTCTGTGCGTGTAGTGTTGACTGGTCGACTACGAGCCATAGCTGGATCAGCAGCTTCTGTGCGTGCAGAATTGACTGGACGAGCGATAGCTGGAACAGCAGTCTCTGTACGTGTAGTATTGACTGGACGAGCACGAGAAACAGCTGATACGGCAGTCTCTGTTCGTGTAGTATTGACTGGGTGAGTACGAGCAACTGGATCTGCAGTCTCCGTGCGAGTGGGATTGACTGGACGAGCGGGATCAATAGCTGTGACAGCAGTATCTGTACGTGTACTGTTGACCGAACGACGCGTAGGAGGAATAGACAAGTTACCAGAAGAACTGGCGGAAGCTACAGTATCTGGACGTGCGATGGGAGGGTCGTAGTAGGATCTTGGGTGCGCAGTGCGATTCTGGGAATCTGCTGCTGTGGAAAGACGATGAGAGGCGGTGGAGGTTGAAGCTGTAGCTTTTGGGGCGTTTGAATGCTTAAAATTGCCAGTCTGTGAAGTTTTATTAGCATGTGCTTTCGCTTTCGTAGAGACTTGGTGTCGGAAGCAAAAATAAAAAAACTGTGGAGATGAAAGGAAGGAAGGAAGATAAGAATTCAGGCAAGATGGATAAAAACGTATAGATGAAAGAGTAATGGATGGATCAATTATTCTCCATGTATGCGATGTCCAATATTGAATTGAATGTTCGAGATTGTTTGAAGAAAGAGATCAACAAACAAAAGATCAAACCCAAGAAGATAGATCGAAGAAAAGGAAAGGAGTTAAACATACCATATTTCCTGCATTGCGTCCATCTCTCTCTCTCTGATGCTGAGCAGTTGGTCTTTGGAGAGCAGTGCTGTACAGTGCTGGGTTCTGTGGACTTGTCTCTTCTTCCTTAATCTGAGCTGATTGACGAGCAGAATCAGATGGAGTGGTACGTTGTCCTACATTTGCTTGAGAAAATAAGTTACTGTTATCAATATCAATGACATCTGTGTCGTCTTCCATCTTTGCAATTGATGTTGAGCCAAAACACGATCAAAAAACAATTGAAAATAGGTGGTGGTTGTTGTTGAAGAAAGGAAGAAGGAAAGTGGGAAGCGAAGAATTTTGTAAATTGCCAAATTAAACATACGGGTTGTGGGAAAATCTTACCTCCGAGCCGAGAAACATTGGTCATGGAGTTAGCAGTCTGTTGAGGAGTGAAAGATGACCTGGGTCCATGAATGTATTGAAAATAGTCTGGTTCGGCCAATTCACCGTGTTTATCCTAACAAAAAGGTACGGTCAGCTCAATGTACTGAAGTGAAAGAGATATGTGCATCATCTCAAAGAATAACAGAGATCAATGGCATTAAACCAAGTGGTCTGCTGATTTGAAAGGGGAATAAGAGAGAGATAACATACCTTCCAATGTTGAATTAGATCGAACTTTATCTTCCTGTAAACTTTACAACTTGGTTTAGGACACTTCCACCCCCTATTGGTGATTGGTCTCTCGGGAAATTCCTCAGCAACCTCAGGATTATATTTCTCCTCATCAATTTCACCATCACCATCATATTCTTCGTATTCTTTTCCATTGGATGATGTGTCTTGTGTATCTGGAGATTGAGCAGATAATTTTGCAGAATGAGAGTTTTTCTTTCTTCTGGCTACACTGGTTCTGATTCTACCAACGTGTTCCGCATAAAGTTGGGCCTTCTCATGATTACGCTTCAAGATGTATTAGCCAGTGCGTACAGAACTTTGCAATAGATTACTCACCGCTCTATGCTCAAGAAGCTCTGCTTTACTGTTGCACTGATAGACACAACGATTTGCAGTGCATCTGAAGATGCCATGCGACTCTTGATGAAACTTGAGCTGACGCTCCCCGAAAAACGAAGTGTCGCATCCTAATGTGGGACAACGAAACCAGGTAGTCTTATCTTGGTGAGCAAATTTGAAGTGGTAATCAACCCCCTTCTTTTGGGCGTATCTCTTTGTACAACCTGGATGCGAACAGATGAATGGCTTCTCTTCATCTGTAAAATGAGTCTTCAAATGATTATTGAGGCCTGGCTGAGTAGAATAAGACTTGTCGCAACCAGCGTGTTGGCAACGGTACATGTTATTGTTGTTGTGATTGGGTAATTGTGGACTTGGTGGGTTATCACTTCCTCCTCCCAAAGGAGGATCGTTTGTTAAGCTGCTGCTCATGATGGAATAGCTAATTGTCTTTAGAAGTATGAACAAAAAGTATTCGAGTTTGAAGTATGAACAAAAGTATCTAGAACAGGTATGAACAAAAGTATCTAAAAGAGGGTGGGTTTTGCCAGGTAAAGAAGGTTGTTGTTTTGAAGAATTCAAAAGTGTGGGCGGGGTAGATGGCTGAGCTGTGAGAAATCTCCAGATCCAAATCTTATTTAAGACTAGCTCAAAAGATGATGGTGTGATTACCTCGAGTAACCTATTAAAATGAGTTCTTGAGTGAGGACCCTCGAGGGTCTTTGATGTGGAGACCAGGCTAAGTCAAGAAAATAAAATGAGAAGTCTCGGCATCCGGGCTGCTCAGGCAAACATTAGACTCAGGTTATCAAATCAAGATTGAGAATTAACTGTCATGAACAGAAGTGGGAAGCAACACAAATTAAAGAAACAAGAGAGAATATATGTAATTAGGTTGAGGTTTCTGAAGAAAGAGTACCAGACTTCAATCTCTTGAAAATTGTGGGGTCGAATTACCCGAGGGGGTAAAAGTTTGGTTATTACTGACCTTGACAAGGGACAAGGGAAGGTCAACAACCACAAAGCTTTGACTGAATTGAATATCTGATAAGGCAGCTTGGAAAAATCTTTTGTCTGCTAGAGCTAGGAATTGAAAGATTGATTCGAAAGATTGCTGCCGCAAATGTAGATATCTGAAATGAATACAATAGATTTGTCTACAGTTGGCTGCTTGTAAGATCGGCCACTCCTACTGACTGGTAGCTTGTCAAGATTCTCTCAAGCAAAACCTTGAGAGATTTAAGAGAGATTTGAGTAAGAAGTGAGAAGAAGTGAGAAGAAATCTGATTGACTTGAAATTGGTTGTAAAGTGGAAGGTCAGGATGGGTGAGTCGAAAGTTATTAAGGGTTCTCTCGGGGGGAACTAGACTAAAAGTGGAGACTGGCGCAGGTGAATGGAGCTCACCTATGAGAGGACGTGACTTCGGTTGATAGCATGAGTGAGTCTTTTTACGATGGCTAATAGAAATGGAATACGATGATAGGTGAGAGCGAGAGGTGCCGTGGGTGGTGGAGATGATTGTCCAGGCTGGGATGGGATATCTCAACAGATTTGGCGCCTTGCGAAGTTGCGTTGTCCGAGTTCCTCGGAGGGAAGGAGCAGCGCAAAAACTTTACAGGAATAACGAAAGTGTTCACGCTTGAGAAGTCAGGAAGGGGGAAGGAAAGAAGGACCGGTACATTGGTACCATTTCGATCACTATTTTGGAGATCCACTGGCGTCTCATGATATCAGACGATAGTGAAAAGTGACCGAGAAGAGTATAAAAAGAGGGAATTTGGCCAAACTGATGACAAGAAATAGGAGTTACGGAGATTCATACTTATTATCGAGGTAGCCAAATCGTACGCAGAGCTAAATTGACCAAAGTTTCTCTCTATTGAGCACTCTACTGCTGTCTCATTATCACTTTATAAGACCTTGACACCAGTACCTCATCATCATCAAGACTACACAAAGATGCAGATTGTGGAATTTTTAATTTGAAATTCTCTTACTGTTCTCATGCAAGCTGTTAAATCCGACTTTCCTCCCTGAGGTATTCTGTGATATGAACATCTCCATCTATGCCATTAGCAAAATAAATTCCAACGCCAATCCATGCATGATATCGCTCTAAACTCCTTCCCATAAATACAAGCCAACGCTGATGATGATACAATTATGAAATTGCGGCCGCAGCAAAACTAAGGAGTGACCCAACCATCAAACCTGCTACTAGATTGGTCATCATGAAAGACCCGCTTGCTTCTCGTTCTTTTTCATTGACATAATCAGCGGCTGCCATCATACAAGAACTGCCAAGCCAGCCATTACTAAGTCCAAATCCACCTTGAACGACGATAAGGTAGAATAAATCGCTGTTGACTTTTGCACCGTTGCCTTCGATATTACAGAGAAGGTATAAAGGAACAAATGCAATTCGAAGAATAGAGAATATGAAAAGTGGTATAGGTCGTGTTTTGGTCTGGAAGGGTAGAAGCGGAAGCAGACGGCCACAAAGATCACCGATATTCCAAACCAGAAATCCGAGGGGAATGAAAGCCTCAGGTTGAAGAATTCGAGGAGCGCCATCAGCGGGTATCACTGAAACCACTTTTGACGTGAACACCGGGAAGAACATCGTAACAGCGAAACACATGAACACTCCTCCTGCCAGCCAATAAAGTTTTTTGAAGAGCCTGACCATGCTAACGACCTCATGTTTGCCATTCTCGTCAACCTCATCATCACTTCCAGCTGATGATGCCGCGTGACTCTCAAGGGTTCGGTTATGCTTCCGAAGCAAGGGGAAGACAAATACTAGCGTTAAAACACTGATAGCTGTAGCCGTCAAGAAGTAAATAGCAGCCGAAGTTGTATTTTCCTTTATATCCGCAACTTCTGTGTCTATATCGGCCCAACGATCTGGTGGCGGAACAGCCAAAACCGTCGCAATCTGCGCCACTGATGGTAGAACTCCGGCGATTGCTTGTCCAGTCATGATAGCTTGTATGTATTCCGGTCTGCCAAAGCTTGACGCAAAAGCAAATGCACCATTTTGTAGAAGCCCGGTTGCACAAGAAGTCGAGAAGACCATTACTAATGTGAAAGCCAGATAGCCACTTGCCGAGATATCGCGGAAGTATGAAGTGGATATCGCAAGAAGCGTAAAGACAATAGTGTTGAGAACGAGGGATGCTATGATTCGTTTCGGGTATGAGGCATTCGATTGTAGGTGACTGAGGAGTAGCATGGAGCCAAGATTCGTAACCGTTCCTACCGAAGTGATCGCAGATTGGAAGTGCTGGAGGATACTCTCATTGTCCTTGAATCGGCTTTGGAAGTATGGTGCGGCTGCTAAGAACATATTCCTGTCAAGATATCAGCTTCTGCACCCTCCCGAGACCTCAGTTGCACATACCATGCCCAGAGCATCGCCACTCCGATTAGCATAAAGATTCCATATTCAAACCATGAGAATGGCTCCCCTTCGACTTGGTCTGATAAGACAAGGACTGGTCTGCGGACATCATCTTCGTGGATACTGGAGCTGCTTGAGATAGGTTCATATTCGGGTTCAGCATCGGATTTATGAAACAAAGCTCGTAATCGGTCAACAGCCGTTCGATTATCGATAGAGTCCCTCATCTGAAGATTTGTTGAGTTGGTCAAAAACTAACGATTCAACGCAAGGAGGTCGTTTGGAATGAGAATTATTGAAAGTAGAAAACCGCTAAACCTCACTCATTTCGTGTTAATATGCTCGAGTATTTCTTAATATATAATCGGCGATATCTACACGTGTAATTCACTCGTAAAGATTATTTGTGAAACCTTTGATGGATGTTTGCCATGTGCTATGATCAGTATTGAATCTCATTGCCATATGTGAAGGCCGGATGATTATGTAAATGTCTCGGCAACTTCCGAGCATGTTTTCCCAGCCCATCTACAGATCCGACTCCCGACCCCGAAGCAAGTTGAGATGAATTACTCGAGTTATATATCAACAGTATCTTATCTTGAGTACTGTTTTTGTTTAAATTGCCAAATGGAAGTGAATTGGTGGATATTAAAGACCATGGATTAATAATTCTATTGCTTTTTGGATTATTGGCCCATAATTGAAACAGATTCGAAATTGGCTTGTCAAACTACCACTTGAGTCCCTTGTATGTTCGTTGTACAAGTGCAACTCTTGGTGCAACAACCATTTGGAGATTCTTCATCTAATTTCTTCAAACTTCGAGTCTTCTTCTATATAACCTTATCTACTCACGATGAACATAACTCTCTTCTGTGGCTGGCCAGACCCAGGACATTATATTATGTATGGGCTCCGTTTGTGACCAAGCTCGGATTTCATCTCCGTCTAGCCAATGTGAGGTACGACTTGGATGCTGGCTCACCTCGATCGACAGCTGAAGGAAATATACCCAGAACCCTTCTCTTATCCTATACGTGTTCTGGTCGGAAATCTTGCCTATCGTCAGATCAAAGCAACATTGTACGGGCAAGGAACCGAGCGATTCACGCCTGAGAAGATACACTTGTTCCGAGAGGGAAATATGGCAAAATCTTAATGGGCTTCTAGAGTCTTCACGAAAGACGTCCTGGTGTCTCGGCGGCGAGAAGCCCACTCAAGCGGACGCGAGTCTCTCCGGATTCATTATATCAATGCTTGTGAGCACCAGGTGAGTTCTATCAATGACTCTAAACAACGTATTGCTAGCTAATCCGATCCAATCCAATAACGTTACAATTTACAAAAAGCTGGTGCAGTTCATTCATGCCTTGATGGATTATGTTGGAGCAAACCTAGTGAAAATCCTTACATTCAACAATACACAGAATTTTGATGCCCTATTCGAAATACCCAAAATCGTGTCTCACTTTGGCTTAATTTGGCTAAAATGCACCAGATTCCGTGTCTTGCAAGGGTCATTGAAGATATTCTAGATTTGGTGTGTAAAGTTGACCGCATAACGTGATCAAAATCTCATGCGATGCAAGTATGTTTTGCATACTTCATAGTGCAATTTCTCAAGTGAGAAGTTTGAAGTTTGAAGATTTTCCAATGGAAACCAAACGTTTTGGTTCACAGAACACTGGCAGTACAACATTTGGAAATGATGCTTTCAACGCCATTGGCTTATTTGTTCTTTTGTGCATTATTTCGTTCCTCCATCTCCATGCATGATTGTGGCACAGTTTGTGTAATGTGAACAATCTGCATCAGTATTTTGGCCCCCAAATATCACATTTATATTTAGACGATGAGTGAGGCAAGACCATCTACTGTACCAGTAGTCCAGTGCTGTATGAATTTCCTGCGAATTGAAATTTCTGAAATATACGATTCATAATGATACAAGACTTTATCTTTAAACTTGACCTCTCTTCTCAACCAAATGTAATCCGACTTCAATAGTCAGACTCATCCTTTGTTAGTTGAACTCGTTCCCACACCCACTTACCGGTGCTATTCTTCACCTCCTTAACTTGCACTATTTTACAGCGGTCATGATAAATAATAAGAGCGGTTAGCGTTCGATACTTGTTAGGATCGTCTTTATCTATACGCTGGACTCCAGTGTCGAGGCCAATTGAGAAATTTTTCTTCATCAACCCTAACTTAGATTCATGACCATAAATCGCCGTCGTCTGTTCGTCTGGTTGCAATGTATTTTGCTTCTTGTCCCAAGCCTATTCAAATCACATTAGTGCTCGTTGTCAGTAAATGGCATATGATGGACGTACGTCAAACCATGGTTCCATCTTCTTGAAATGATCTTGATCGACCGACAAAGCTAAATTCTTTCTCTCCTTATCTCCACGCGCCATTGAACTTGTATTTCCCTCCCTGATATCTATAGATTTCAAATTCATTGTCTCGATGACATGTTGATGTTCTAGTCGACGTTTCGCATTCAATCCCGCGTGTACAACGAGCATGTTATTGCGTCCACCTACCTTTCCAAGAACTAGAATATGAGGCAGCTTTTTCAGCCATTTCCTTTCGTCAGTGCTGAGCGCATCGTAGAGCGCCTTGTCACTAGCAGTCGGTGTTCTCAAGAGTTTCTTCACGCGAAATCCTCCATCGAGCAAGCGCTCAGTATCTTCTATCCATCCTTTCCTGGCGTGTTCGACATTCAAAAGAATATCTTCGTGGTTACCGCGTATTGCTGAAGCTTCGTGTCTCATAGCACCACACAGCACATCTTTAGAAGCCTCGATTGTCACTTCGGCAGGCGTCATATCAGGCTTACTTGGACGACTCTTCCTGCCCTTCGTTACCATATCTCCGGCGAATATCTGATGATCATAGTCTGGATTGTATTTAACCTCTTTCAACAGGCAGTCCTTAGCATCAGGCATTCCATGTACATCTCCAAGGACGATCAAACAGCTCTCATGTTTGGCGTGCTTTTTGGGCAGGTATTTCGTAGGGAGACGCGCAATGATTAGTTCATCATCTGGCTCACTCTTGGGTTCAGATGCTCTATCGCTCTCTTTGACGTAGTTTACTGGAGTAGGAGCCTTGGATTGCGTCGAAGTTTTATCAAGTCGAAGGCTTTTCATTCCACTGGATAGAGAGGGAGATATTTTGCTTGACTTTGGATCCTGGGATAGATTTCTACGGCTGGATGAAGATTTCGGTAGAGTAACGCCTCTTTTGTGGGTGGGCAGCTCGTTGGACTTGGGTGTATCAGTATCCCTCCCACGTCTTTCGGGAGGATCTCTGGGATCGCGGCTGGGAGCAGGCGGGGGTGAATTGTTCTGAGTAATTGTCGAATGTCGACTATTAGTGCTTCTTTGGACTGCTCCAGCTGGAGTTTTGGAAGTGGAAGATCTCTCGCGGTTGTTGATGGTGTCGCGCCCGGACTCTACAACTTGCTTTGCTGGTTTAACTTCCTTTCGTGGACTAGGTTCCACTGCTGTTCGCCTGAGCGACTCAACTCGCGGTCGTACATCTGGTTTAAATGGCGGCAGTCCGTCGACCTTTCTTTTTTCCGCAAGTTTATCTCCATCTTTACTCTGGTTGCTTCGATGACTTTTACTCTCCTCAACCTGAGCTGTACTTTTCCTACGTGGAGGATCCATGATCGCTGACTGTGTTAGACTTAATTTGAATACAGCAAAGTATTGAAAGTTTTATTTTATTATAAGGTATAGACACAATAAAAAGAAGATAAAAACGAGGAGTTTTTACTTCAAAAGTTTTAACCGACATAAATGTGTTTGCTACGACATAGATGTGTTTGTTAAATAAGAATGAAATCCACGATATCTATACTTAGAGTCGCTCAATGATTGATCCAACGTTGGTTGGAACAGGTCAAATCAGGTCACGAACAGCACTCCCTCCAACTCCATCTTCCCAAAACAAACAAACAAGCATAAGCCTTCTGCTCTACTGAGTACTCAAAATGATACTCAAAAATAGTATACATGTATACGAGTACTGACAGTACCACTGAATCCCCAACCCCGATATCAAAAACGCTCACGGTCGTCATTTAGGATGATATCGTAATGCGCGTAATGCGACCATTAACGCCACGATGATCATGAGTTCCTGTATGAAAATCACTGCCACAGGCACCATTTCTACCTTTATCTTTTATCTTTTATCTTTATCTTTACAGTATGCCAAGATGTTTCTATAGATCGAGAACCTGTATTTGTTTCTTCGAAGGGCATGAGACAAATAAATCATTAGGATTTTTTAATCGTGCGAAAGGGCGGGTTTGCGGGTTTGGGGTGATAACGCAATGCGATGCGATGCGATTCCTTTTCCACGATTGATAAGATGAGGTGGTTTGTTGGTTGGTGGCGCGTTTACGGTTTGCGGTTTGTGATTCTTGGTTTACCGCTGAATATGGAGGAAAGTTAATTGGTGTTGACTCTTGAGGATTTCTGAAAGGTGGGGATGGGAATGGGATGGGAATGGGGATGGGAATAGATGATGGATCGCGCTTAGTATGAGGAGGATTTGGGTGGGGATTTCTTTACTTAATCCGCGCGGGAAAGTTTGGGGTGTTTGATGGGTTTGATGGGTTTTTGTGGGGATTGGGAGTGGGAGTGGGAGTGGGATTACATGTTGAATGTTGCGATGTCATGCCGGTGGGTGTTATTTTGGTTATGGCTTTGGGTTGTGATGAGTTGAGCTTGAATCTTGATGAATACGTACTGCGACTTTTGACTTGGAGAAACTCTTATAGCTGGGTTACATAACTCGACTTCTAATAAGCTTGCAGAAGGTGATACGAATGGTCTGAAAGTTCGCTGTCAATGGTAATGGTTTGGGGAATTCTGTCTTTGCTTGTCGAATTTGGACAGCTAGGTGTTGGCGGGGAATTATTATCTTTGGCTATGTGCTCGAGATATTGTGGTTGTGTATGATGGATGGATGGATGGATGGATGGATGGATGGAGTGTAGTGCGAGGGTGTATATCTACGGAGGACAGAGGACTGAGAGGAGTCGATGATGGTGGTGATGATAATGGAGCTTGGTGTTTAGTGTTTGCATGTGATAAGTGACAGCGATGCTAAGGTCTTAAAATCCAACGAGTAGTGAGGATATATAAGAATGACGGCGAAACTGTACACAAACCAAAGTCCAGAATGTTGTAGGCAACAGAATAGGTTGCTGAATCGGTGAAAAACTTGAGATACACTTCTAATTGGTTTCGATACAGGGAGTTATGGAAACACACAGATTTCTGCATGCCCTCCAGCTCGCTATCGAATATATATTCTAATATACCGGTATGTGAGGTTGAGACGAGGGCGGAGTTTTATACTTGACTCCTGGATATGAAGTGAAGTGAAGATTGCTGAATGCTATGCCCTCACCTCACTGGTATTTTGTTCTCTATTCACTGCGCGCTGATTGGCGGTGGATAGAGCTACCGTCTAAACTCAACTACAGTAACTGTTTTAGGAGCGAACCGCATTGGTTTAGCTACAGATCAAATTAAAAAGATGAATAGATGATATAGTTTGATGAATTCTGAAAATGAAGTTTATTCTGGTTCCATATTTGTACATTAGTATTTAAAACTAGACCGTATATAGCCTGGCTTCGTCCAAATACGGTTCGCTTCAAATACAGTTAGTTGAATTCAGACGATAATTTACATTTATAATTATTTCATTGAGCTTCAATATTCACATCGACTTTCGGATGTATTTAAAGCCGTGCTATGCTATCGATATTCTACTTTCAATATACGAGTAGAGCAAGCTGTGAGGTTGGAGAACGCCCTATGCTAGGATGTTCGCGCACCGTATGAGTACTGTATAATCAGGCTCATTATGCTTTGTGCTCTGTGCTTTATGTGAAAAGAATTTGGACAGTCTGCACAAATCTCAGAATGCGAATCATCGTTGAATGTGAGATGTGATGGTGAAAGAATTGTTGTTGGTAATGACTGTTCGTTGCATATATTGCTTCTCATCGATAGAGTCGAGTTCATACTATCGGAGAAGAATATAGGGGTAGCTAACAAGTTCCACGTCCTCACTCTTTTCCCGACGATATTAGTCACCAGAAGCTCCTTGTCTACATATAGTTCTTCACTAAAGTCTAAAGACAACGTCTCGGGAGGCTTGGCGCGTAGGATACTGTACTGTTGGAGCGACGTCGAAGGTCTTATAATATTGTATGTATGTATGTAATCTGATCAGGCAAAGGGCTTATTTTTACTCTAAACGTCCGATGCGATCTCAAATCGGAGTGGGAAGGTGAGTATTGGTGCCTGGGGTTTAACAAATCAGAGATTGGCGTTTATATAACTTGGTGTTCGTTTGTAAGATTACTTTATAGAGTTGCAAGTAAGTTGTATGAAGACAATGACAATTTCAAGGCACCAGATGCCATCGTGACATCAGTACCGTACGATATATGGGTTTAAATATCGCACACGTAATCTTACACTCGAGACGACGTTGTAGTATTCAGTTTCGCAGAGTGATGAAATAAACGATATGTAGTGCGGTTTGGAAATGGTAATGCCTCGACGGTATAACTACGTCACGAATCAATGGAAAATACAATGTGTGGGAGAGCTCATGTATATGACGTGTTGAATATTTGCCCAAGACCCCCCTTAGTCTAAGCTAGGCCTACCCATGAGCTTACTACAGCCTGGCAATTTGTATAGTATTCCTCAAAGAGAAAATGGCCGATTCTAGACCGATGTGTGATCAACCTTCTGGAATTACGCATAATAACAAAAACTATAATACATGGCCTCCGAATCCTTCACTCAAAATCTGAGACCTAGTGCGTATTAACTAGCTTAAACTCATCTCTCCACTTTTTCCCAAAAATAAAGTGCCAGATAATTTCATTTGACAACCTCTAAACCCAAATTCCAAAATTTAACTACACAGAACAGCCGGTATTCCAGCTCGAAAGATATAGAAAGATCGCACTTGCACTTGCACTTGCACTCTTTCAAGTACTCAAAGGTTGTTTGTGGAGACATTGAAGATGGAATAGATTTGAAAAGCTTGAATGACATGCTCTTGAGTCTTATTTCAAGTTCGAATTTGGATCGAGAAATTTTGAATCGAGAAATTTTGAGACTTCCCAACGTCATGCTCGCGGCTAATTAGATGTGTAGGTAGTTAAATGTAATTAAGACAGTAGTGAATATTGGTATCGAAGGGTCATTAAATATCGGTGGCAAGGAATGGAGACAAGGCCACTATGACGATTGCCAGGTTAGGTTAGCTTGAAGCTACATCGCGTCAAGATCTCGTCAAGGAAGTTACGATGGAAAATGAGTGGCGAGTCAAGTTTTGAGATGGTATGAGGGATGGGAATATATGATAATTACCAAGGTACATAGATATAATAAAGATTTTTGTTAAAACAATCATGATAAAATATATGTGACAATGATGTTGAAAGAAAAGAGAGGGGGATGTAGTCCTGATTTAAGCGTCATAGTTCAACTCCCGTAAGGCCACTTGTCAAACTCTAATTTAGTAGACGAGGGAAAACATTTTTGTTCATGGTTTATTGTACGCAATGACTTCATCACTTCATCAGAAGCCTTTCATTATACCCCTATCCACAAAGATTGGTCTACTAACCATCTCTAGAATCTAGATGCGTACTACGTATCGGCGGATCTTCTCCCCAAAAGCTATCATGATTGAAAAGAACTCACTCTATGACGCACAACTTCCTAATCATCTTACAAGGAAGAACGATAATCCCTAAATGACCACTACTACTCGAATAGTGAACTTAGGACTAAAATGTCATGGTCTGGCAAACGCTAACGCAGACTAGCTCCTCGCTTACCGAATTCCGGCACCTACTAGGTATGCTCTAAGTCTTTGGACTGTGGATCCTTGAATTGCCCAACGGCTTCGCCATTTCTAATTTCTTGGGTTCTATGATGTCAAATCTCCATCATACTTACTTAGCTTCGTACACACATTGGTTTTCTATAAAGTGTCGAACTCCTTCATCAAGGATATTTTCTCCAACACTTCGATACATCTCACAAGAAAGACGAACAAGTCAAAAAACGCAAATATGGAAAAATTCATCGAAGCCTTAAAAAACTACCAAATTTACTATGAAAGATGGCGATCAGGAACATGGCCAGACAGATATATATTTGACAAGTCCAATCAGATCCTCAATTTCACCGTCGCAAATGCTTCCGTCAATGGCAAGACAAATTTGTCGTCAATTATGAATGGCATCTCATCGAACTCAACCAGCCCATCTCAACCCAGGAAATCACAGATCAGCAGACTAGCAGTTCTTCGAGCCGAATTCTTCAAACTTCACCAGACCATCATGCAGGACATTAATCGCCTATACCAAGAACGAGCCGAGGCCGGTATTCCTGAGCAGGGTAGCCACCATAGGAAGCTCATTAACGATGTGATCGCGGCGCGGAGGTTCCATGATTTGATGACTGAGTACCAACATCTCCAGTCACAAGAAGAGCTGAATGATCCGGATCAAGCGTTGGAACCCTGAATTCCCTGGCTTATTTTGCATGTAGAAGTCCTGCAGAATACTATGTTGGAATTGGAGGGAGATATGGAGGAATGGAAGTTAAAGGGACAAAAGAAGGAGGAACCCAAGCAAGAGGATACATACGACACGTTGATGTTTCCAGAGACAAGCCCCGACGTCAATATCAAGAAGTTACAGCGGGCGAACGACTCTGGATTTGGTGATGAGGTAAAGCCAAAATTGGAGTTGAAGTTGAATTTAGGTCGCCCAAATCGCAATTTCTTTATTCCGCACAATATTTTGATTATATCGGTGTTACCGAGGTTTGGCGTATGTCCCATTGTAGCGAAAAGCTCCGTAGATCCATCGAATTTCCTCACCCCTGGATTTTTGTCGGGTGTTGCGGTCGATATGGAACAGGGGATGGAGACGGCTGAGTCGTATTTCGAGGATTACGAACTTTTGCTATAGGATTGGGGTTTGGGTGGGCTATAATTTGTAATTTGTAATTTGTAATTCATATAGCAAGATCTATTTCTGAACTAAGAAATATCTACTAAATCATAAGATATTTCGATCAAAAATCAATTATATACACATAGTCGAACTTCCCTGGATTAGACTAGACTTGCATAGCAACATACTGAAAAGTTAATCATCATCGCTCATTCCTATTACACTTAATATTGTACAATCACTATTGCCATTTCTAATACTATACTAATACTATACTGATACAAACCGTACAGAAACAACAAGAATAATAACAACAATGACAATAACAAAAATACCCCGTCCTCCTCAATCATTGTTTCTACCCTTCCAATTTTATCCTCCCAATCTTGATTTCTTAAACTCACAACCTAAACCAATACCACCTCTCACCTCCCTCCCTTTTTCCCTTCCAACTAACTTCAAATTTCAAATTTCCAACTCGTTACTCCAAACATCCCCTCTCACCAAGGCTCTAGCTACAGAAAATTACAATACCAGTAAGTAACCGACTCATCACCTCAACTACCTCAAAAAGGTCCATCTCACTCAAGCTACACAAACCTGCAATTGTAATCTTACTTTCAAGTTTTGAACTGTTTGGATTAGATTAGATTTATTGGATTTTATGCCTGTTACTAAATTAGAAGGGACTTTATATATTTATACTTGTAGTCGTACTTATACTCATTCATACTCTCATTCATACTCATGATCGTACTAGTACGTAATACGTACACATAAAAATGTGAAATTGAATTTCATCCATTCTCCTCTCCTCTCCTCTCCTCTACACCACTTTACATCACTTTAAATACCTAATAAATCCTATAAACCTTACATATAAACCAAACCTCGCATCATCTACAATATCTGGATACGTATATCACACATCACATCACATCACATTGTGCACATCACACCCAGACTCTAATCTAAACAAATACATCCTCTAGACTAGCAATTACAACTTGTAAATCCCTACCGGTACTCTAATACTCGAGTAATACATACGTACTTCTCTCAATCTTCATATCTCAATCTTCAAATTTCAATTTCAAGTTTCAAATCTCAAATCTCAAATCTCAAATCTCAAATTCTAAATTAACCTAGTATTAATCCATCCTCCTTATTAGTCCATCCTTCTTTTCTCTTCTTTACAATACATCTGAATACTTGAATTTGAATACAGACAGATATCCTGGATCCAGATGAAAGAAGTACCGCGTATATATATATATATAAATTATAATAGAAACCGCACTCACCTACCTACCTACCTACCTACCTATCAAGAAATTAACTAGTGCTTCTAACTTCTTTCTGACTCTAAAACCTAAAACCGAAAACCCAAAACCCAAAACCTAGAACTCAAAGCTTACAACAAAGACGAAGATAAACTACACTCTAATCTAACAACGAGGTTCGCTGGGGATTTAAAGTATGAGTTGGTTGTTTTTGATACTGTATGTAGTATTATACTTCCTGCTTTCAAGTTTGCATTTCCATTTAATACATTTGCATTTGTGTTGCTTTCGAGTTAGTTTGAGAAAGTAAAGTAAAGTAAAGGAAAGAAAAGTTTGGTTGTTAATTTGATAACTTGATAATTTGACCATTGATAGATATAGATATACATAGTCGTACAATGCAAACAAATGAATAGATGGATACAGTCTACACTATATCAAGCAGTTAAATTTGTGTATAGAAAAACTCGATAGTACCGGTCCCGGTGCTTGAAATATCTGATTCCTTGCTAGTGTGGCATTTTCGATGTTCATTGCTCTTGCTCTTGTTTTTGCTATTATCGAGATGAGATGAGATGAGATGAGATGAGATGAGATGAAATAAGTGGTAGTATAGTAGTATATTGTATCACTGTATCACCGTATTACTACATTGTATTCTCATGAGTATTATCAAATCTACTCGACTTCATCTGAATCGTCATCGTCATCGTCATCGTCAATCCCAACCCTAACCCCAAAATTATCTCTATTTCTATCTCCCATTTTCCAATTTTCAATTTCCGTCTCACGTTTCCCATCTCCTTCTCCTATAAATCCACAACCTTTTTACCCTCCTTACCTTACCTTACTCGACTCTATCCTATCCTATTCCACACAACAATAGCTCCTTACCCCCCTTCTCCAAGTAACGCCATCTTCAAAATATCATTTTCCTTCCCTCTACTCTACTCTCCTCCACTCTCCTCCACTCCACTCCACTCTACTCTACACTCCTCTCCTTCACTCAACTTCACCTCTCCATCCTATCCTATCTCATCCCATCCAATTACACAGCACAACACAACACCATTATCACAACCCCATTGCATTGCATAAAATAAACCTTGACCTTAACTTCAACTTTAACTTTAAGCCAGCAGCCATCCATCCATCCACCCTCCATTCCATACCTAAGCTAAAAAAAAAGCAAGCCCCTGATACTGCACTCGTATAAGCGAAGTGGGGTATTCTCTACTCGTATAGTACTCGTACTCCAACATTCTATTCCAACATTCTATTCCAACACTCTAACCAGTCCAGTACTCATCTCATATAAAACAAAACACTCAAGTACTCAAGTAAAGAGAATGGAGAACAGAGTACCAACCCCAACCCCAACCCCAACTACAAATTACAAATTTTGAGACTACCTACTACATAGAGGTTGATGGGGATGATTTGTTCGTGCTCGTGAAATTACAAATATGAAGAGATTTTTATTTTGATTGAAAGGGAAGGATGAGTTGATTCAGAAGAAGAGAGATAGGAAAGGAGGCTGTTGTGTTTCTGTACTGGATATGGGAGAGTGGTTGAGGATATGGTGATTATAACACAGTACAAGTACAGTGCCATTTAAGGGTTATATTTGGCATGTGAATCATAATCCGAACGTTCCTGTATCAACCATAGGGACACACCCTGTATAAAGCTCACAATTGTCTCCACCAAAACACATATCATTCATGGCGGGAAAAGAATATCTCATTATTAAGGTGGTGATGGCGGTGATGGTGGTGGTACACTTTCCTCTAACTCTCCTCTATGCTTCTTCGGTTTAACCAACAGCAAAATAAACATGCCTACAACTAGTAGGATCAATAAGAAAATAATTCTCCTCTTCGTTCCTTTTCTTTGGTATCCGCTCGCCACTTTCAATTCCACATTTGCTGCTTTGACATCTACTGCCATTCTTTCCACGTTGTAATCTATTCGATCCAGCATTGTTCCTTGATCTATAATCATGGTTTGTAGTTCTTTGAATATGTCGGCGAGTTCGATGATACCTTGTGCGATGTCATTGATTTCACGTTCTCGTTGCATGATGGCGGCATCGTTGGAGGTGAGTTGCTTTTGGGAGGTTTGTTGGAGAGTTGCTTGGGAGAAGGATTTATCGGCATCGGATTCCATGATGGAGGGGTCGATATAATTACTGTAAAGAGGGGTAGATGTTCGTTCGATAGGTACATTCATACCTCCTAAGCCTCGTAACTCTGATATTGGTTAGTAGAGCTTCTTCATAATCTCATCAAGATCACAGCAATCACTGTAGGAATAAAAACTCACTCTTCAAATAAGTACTTTGCTTTTTCCTAAACCCCGCGCTTGCTTCTTGTACTCTTGATGCGAGTGAAATCTGAATATTCCTCGCCATAGTTTCTTCCCCTTTACTTATGCCTCCTTGATGCCGCGAGTCCCGAACTATTTGTTCTACCTTTTGAATTGCTCTCTGACAATCGTGAAATCCTTTAGTAATTTGTTGTGTCAACAATTCAATCTCCCTTTCTTCCTTCTTCTTGACTTCTTCATCATCGAATCCGGGAAGTACATGCTTTTGATGCAGTTTCTCTAATTTCTGACTCTTGTTTGCGATATCTGTGAGATATTCTGTAACTTCGTCGCTAATATCTGCCCATCTCGGTGGTAATAAATCCATTTCTATTATCGCATCCCCATCATCTTCGAATGCGCCAGCGGACATAAGTCCTCTGCGCTCCTCTGAAGCCCCTCCAATACTATCTGAGTATCCATTTCCGGAAGCACTCGAGTATTTCGATTTCTTTGCGGGGTGATGTGCATATGATTGTCGATAGGAGATATAGCTGATAGATTAGGTGTCAGTATCTATCTATCTAAGCTTATGGGAAGGGATACAGCAACTTGAACATACAGATTTGTACGATCACGCCACATGGCGATCTGAAATTGATGTTACACTATCACAGGATATAATAAATGATGAGAAAGTAATTAATTTCATGTAGAAACTTAAAGATTTATAATTTGTGTTGGAGTTTGTTATTGAATGTCGCATGTTGTTGTCTTGTTGTTTTGATGATTCCAAACTCTCCCCGGCTTCAACTCTCGGTTGAGGAATTATCCCAGACCCCTTCGTTATACCAAGACTAAGACTAAGACCAAGATCACTTTCGGCTACCGTATAACTACTATGGTTTCTATGGTTTACCCGATCAAAACATCTGAACAAGTTGAATCACAATCATAATCACAACACAACAAGATCTTCCTCATTTCACCCTTACAAAAGTTTCTCAATTTTCGATACCTTAAATACCCTTTTAAGCTCATAATTCGATATACATTCTTTCAACTAAATCTAATAAACAATGGTTTGTACCCTTTTCCAAGAAGGCTGTACCTGATCAACCCCGCCCTTCAAGTTGTCGGCTTGAAGTTGCAGCTTCCAGTTGGATAGAAAGATGGAAGGTTGAAATGATGGAGCAAGACAACAAGATCACAACTAACATGCGCATTCAAATAGGCTGATTCTCTTACTGAAGAGCAAGTCTCTGAGTTCAAGGAGGCATTCTCCCTCTTTGTAAGTTTATTTTCACAACTTCTTTACAATCTCAGCCCTATGAACACTTGGTAGGGCATATCTGTAGACTTGGAAGCTAATACTTTTGTGACTTTACAGGACAAGAATGGTGATGGTTCGTACTTTCAGATTATACGTTTGGTGTCGCAGATGGACTACTCTCTTTCATCTGCATGCTGCTGCAAACAACATGAGCAAGGAGGACAACGATACTATAAGGCATGACAATACATAAGGATAAATGCTGATAGGTGTATCCACAGGGCAAATCACTAGCAAGGAGTTGGGTACCGTTATGCGATCCCTTGGGCAAAACCCTTCCGAGTCTGAGTTGCAAGACATGATCAACGAGGTCGATGCCGACAACAACGGTACCATCGATTTTCCAGGTACGGCACAGCCATAGGATATTCCATGACTCACAAGGCTGACATGATTAGAATTCCTCACCATGATGGCAAGAAAGATGAAGGATACCGATTCTGAAGAGGAAATCCGAGAGGCATTCAAGGTTAGAATTCATGGATCATCTAATATGGCAAAGGCTAATTTTCTGTTCTCAGGTTTTTGATCGTGATAACAACGGCTTTATCTCGGCTGCTGAACTTCGTCATGTCATGACCTCCATCGGAGAGAAGTTGACTGATGATGAGGTTGATGAGATGATCAGAGAGGCTGACCAAGACGGTGATGGAAGAATCGATTGTATGAACCCTATTTCAATATCTCATCTTCAACACCTTTGCTAATGATTATATACAGACAACGAGTTCGTCCAACTCATGATGCAAAAGTAAATTGAGCTCTGCTTGTTTTCTCGTGATTCTTTTTTTGCTGGGAGGGAGAAGTCATCGGCGTACACATCACGGGTCTCTTGGACAACCAGAACTCTTGTGGGCGTACGACTGGACTGGTTGACAGTTAGGTAGAGCGATTGCCGTTTTTAGTGATATTCACGATCAATGATAGCCCTTCAGATATCTTATTGTCTAGTTAATACCCTTTACTGAACTCTTTACTATGTGCCTTGTGAATAGTGATAAGAAGCTGACAGAATAATTAATCCCGTCAGCCAATTTCAGCCTCATGTCTTGGAGATTCGTATTTGTAAGGACTTGATAGAACTTCACGTCCTGAGATTCAAGCTTAATTTACTAATTTTCAGGAGATTTTTTGTATTAATGGTGATCAATTTGATATTATGTTGATGTGGGTACAACCGTTTGGCTTTACTTGAAGGGGAAGGGGTCCTTTTGGTGAAGATATATCTGGATTATAAAGGAACCCAATCATACGGTACCGAAGGGTACTGGCCATTGAATACCCTGCTCGACAAAAATTTCATCAAGTCATATAAGCGACTTCCCCTGAAGATATATTCCTCCCTTCACTTCTTTTTATACTTCTTTATTTACTTCTTTTAAGCTTTCCATATGTGGTTGAACCAATTGAATTGGTCAATTCATTGGAAAGCTTCCCGTTCCCGTACAGAGAGCAAGCTAAAGTTTAGGCTCAGATCCCTTACCTTACTTACAGCAGGGTTCAATTATCTTTTCTTGGCAATCATCATATCAATCTTTAGGTTAGTTACTTGAGTAGCTATGAAGAAGGAAACCTTGATCCTATCACATTTGACTGATACATTCCTCGGCAACACGAATTGCTCTGATCTGCTTTCCTTTCGTGATAAGTTTCTTTTCTTTTCTTTTACTATACTTTAGTAACTTTATTCATTAACACTCCTCGAAATTCTGCTTTTATTCTCGTCTTTGTAGTTAACAGAGCGGGCTGTTTTACCGATGGCTTTGGAGTTTCAACACGAGAACATTGGATGAAGGACAAAGCTGCTGTCAAAGCAATCAAGTCAAGCATTCAAGGGATGTATCCAATCGATAAATAATCCACCCCAAATTCTCTTCTTCTACCATTTTTTTCTTTTTCGATTCTTCCAGCTGTAAATGCAGGAGTAGCAGATATGCCATCAATTATCAAAAGGTGGCGAATAGCTTTCATAGCTGCAGTATTCATGATTTTCAGTCTTCATTACCTCCATACACGACGCAATACTTGGAATTATGGCGCGAATTATCTCTCTTCGATAACGAGACCTCATCCTCCCGATGGGAAGATACATTGGTCCAAATTGCCAGAACGATATCCCGTTACTTCGTACATTCCCTTGCCCACCGGGAAACCGAAGAAGATCCCACGGATTCAAAGTGACCCGCCGAAAGAAGACGCAGCGCAGAAACAAGAGAGATTGAAACGATTAGCGGCAGTCAAAGAGAGTTTTGTACACAGTTGGCAGGGATATAAAACACATGCGTGGTTGCGAGATGAAGTCTCCCCGATATCTGGATCCTGGAAAGATACATTTGGTGGCTGGGCTGCTACTTTGGTGGATTCGTTGGATACTCTATGGATCATGGGTTTGAAGGAAGATTTTGAAATTGCGGTGCGAGCGATTGAGGAAATTGACTTTACGACTACGGAACAGAAGGATATCAATGTTTTTGAGACGACGATTAGATATATGGGTGGGTTCTTGGCGGCGTATGATATTAGTGGAGGTCAATATCCGGTGTTATTGTTGAAGGCTGTGGAGGTTGCGGAGTTGCTGATGAGTTGTTTTGATACCCCGAATAGAATGCCGATCCCCAGATGGGATTGGAAGAAGTAGGTTTTGCTATTATCATTTATTGAGTAGATTACTGACAATGAGTAGATATATGGAAGGAGGGGATCAAGTAGCACCCAGAAGAGCCCTGGTCTCTGAACCAGGTTCTTTGAGTCTCGAATTTACTCGCCTTAGTCAGTTAACTGGAAATCCAAAATACTACGATGCAGTCCAACGAATCTCTGACGAATTCGAGAAAAGTCAAAACTCCACACGGTATCCCGGAATGTGGCCTATTAGTATTGATCTCCAAAAGCTTCGATTTGATGAAGATACTGTGTTTACCATGGGAGGAATGTCAGATTCTACCTACGAGTATCTACCCAAACAATACATGATTCTGAGCGGAACACTCGAGCAACCCAAAACAATGTACGAAAATTTCATAACAGTTGCTCAAGAAAAAGTGTTCTTTCCGATCCTCAACGAGAATAATCAAAAGATTAAAGTATCAGGCGATATCCGCATTAAAGGAATGGGCGAAGACAGTTACCCCGAGCTCATACCTCGCGGGCAACACCTCAGCTGTTTCACCGGCGGCATGATAGGAATCGCCTCAAAAATCTTCAATCGACCCAGCGACCTCTCTCTCGCCTCCGAGCTAACCAACGGCTGCATCTGGGCCTACGACAGTCATCCGCAGGGGATCGCCCCCGAAATCTTCAGCGTAGTTCCTTGCCCCCAAAATCACGATTGCACATACACTTTGCAAAAATGGCACGATGCGCTCGCAGCCATCTATACACATCCACTGACAACCACGGCTGAGGAAACGGAAGCGAAAATTGAGGGGATTATTAGGGAGAGGAGGTTGAGTCCGGGGTTTACGTCGGTGGATGATCGGAGATATGTACTGAGGCCGGAGGCGATAGAGAGTGTGTGGATTTTGTGGAGGATTACGGGGGAGAGGAGGTTTGAAGAGGCGGCGTGGAGGATGTGGGGAGCTGTGGAGGGGGCGTGTAGGACGGGGGTGGCGGCGGCGGCGGTGAGGGATGTTACGGTTGGTGAGGAGGGTGAGGAGGGTGAGGAGGGTGAGGAGGGTAAGAAGGGTGGGGTGGATGGAGATGGAGAAATGAAAGGGAAGATAGAAAGGATAGATAGTATGGAGAGTTTTTGGTTAGCCGAGACGCTGAAGTATTTTTACTTGTGCTTTAGTGAGTGGGATGTGGTAAGTTTGGATGATTTCGTTTTGAATACGGAGGCTCATCCGTTGAGGAGGTTGAAGGGGTGAGGTGGGAAGGTTTGCAGTATATAAATAGAAGGGGATGGAGATGGAGAAAGAAATAAAGTCGAATAGAGGTAGAAGAAGAAATGGAAATAGAAGGAGCTGTAAAAATAGAAATAGAAATAGAATATCATAAGAAAACTTCCACAATATTATCATTTTCTCATTCCTTCTTTGGATTGAGATTTTTTTGCTCATGGCTACCAGTATATATTTAATTCAATTTACCGGTACGTACGTACTTACGTACTTCGTTCTAATCCTGTGATACAAAATTGTAACTGTAACTGTAATGCAAAAACTAAATCTAACACTAAAAGTAAACCTAGACTGAAGCTAAAACAATAACGCCAGTGCTGATGCATCCATCCATCCAGTTTTCCAACCGATAATACACTTCTATAGTCGTCATCGTATAATCAATCGTGTATAATATCGTACGTATCGTGTGCTTATGAATCAAACAAAATGAAATAGAGTCGCTTGACAATACCACGCCATAGCACACTATACCATATCATATCATGCCATGTCATACCGTCCGTCAAGAAAGTAAAGTCATTCCATGCCTGCCATGCCATGTATGCGAAAATCCAAAGCGCCGCCAACACCATCTCCATGCCACCGCCCTCCCCACCGCCCTACCCTCAAAATAAAGCCTTTTGATCCCCCCTCTGAGTTATTGGCCCTTAGAACTTTTGCATTTCAAGCAGAATTCTCCTTCTCCGTCTCAATGTAGGTATTTTCGCGTAGACGTGTAGGACTTGTATCTACTGTTCCCAAGTCCTCTTCATGGACCCAGCCCATGTCGAATGCATATTGTAATACGTCGCCTGCACATCCTATTCCTATTTCCTCCTGTTCTTCTCGTTGTATTTCCCCATTATCTGCACCTTGTACGCCATTCCCCGGCATCCAATCAGGATGTAAAAGCCACCTTAGCTCTGCCGTCTCCTTCAACCATGCCTGTTTTCCCTGTTTTCCCTTTCCTTTTGGGGCAACGCCTGTAAGATATTCCATTAGGAAATATAACCATAATACATTACTATACGGAATATATTCTTCCCACGAATGCTTTTTTTGTTTGATAGCATCACGAATGGCTTTAGAAGGTGTGTTGGCGTTGGTGTTTGAGAGGCCACCGGAAAAAATGTAGGCGCGCATGCGTCGGTAGGTATCGAATTGAATTCCGGCGATAGTACCGGGTTCGAAGGAGGAGAAGACGGCTGGGTCGGATTCGAGGTTGTAAAAGACGGTTTCGGGGGAGGGGGAGGGGTGCGAGGAGGATGAAGAGGGGTATATGGTGGCGCGGGAGAGACCGTAGTCGAGGATGGTTATTTCGAGGCCAGAGTTGCCAAATTTATGGGGAGAGGGTGGGGTGCGGGTGTTGGGTTTGGATTTGGACTTTGATTTGGATTTGAGGTTTGAGGTAGTGGTAGTAGGGGTGTGTTCGAGGATACATATATTATTTTCGTGGAGGTCGCGGTGCTCGAATTCATATTCGATTTCTGCTCTTGCGAGAGCGATGACGACACTAAGGAATATATCCCATAATTGATCCACATTCTTGATTGAATATTTCTCCAACACATGTCCTGCATCGCCGAGTTCGATGGCCAAGAATACTGCGTGTTTGGAAATCTTATTTGGGTGGGGAAAATATGATTCTCCACCGGCATTCAAGTGACCTTCGTATGCTTTCACAAATGCTGTTGGTGGTTTCCCTTCAACTATATGTGCATCTTTGAATTTCACAAAACCGGGTATCTCGGTAAGTGCATTCATGAGACGCATTTCTGAGACAACGGTGTCGACTTGGATGGCGGTGTCGGATCTTCTTGAAGTAGGGTCGGTGGGAACTTTGAGACGGAGAAGTTTGAGAATTGAGGAACCGGCTGGGTTGGTTATGCGAAATACTTCGGCATATGATGCTTCGGCTATTTTCTGAATACTTGAATCGGGTGCCAGAACATCGTCCCACTTTTTAGTGGCTAAAGGGTAACCGCTGTCCTTTTCGTAGGCGCTTAAGAGGGGCGAGAGAGAGGCTGCAAGGCGGGGGTTGAGTGGGGATAGAGGTGGAGCGCTGGGAGTAGGTGTCTGAGGGGTTGATTTCTCGATTGTTGGTTCAACATTGGCTAGTGTATTATCTGCGCAAGTGACTTCGTCGGGGGCATTTTCTAAAGTCGTCCTCTCCAGGAGATTGGCGACATCATCGAGAGAAGAGCATTGTTTGGTTTTCTCGAGAGAATTCCCAACATCCTCAACACAATTTTCTAGAGTTGTCTTCTCAAGGAGAATGATGACTTCATCAGAAGATGCCTCGAGTTTGGTATTTTCAAGAAGATCCGTGATATCCGCAAGATCAGCTTGTGGAGATTGTAGAGATTGTGGTATTGGGGGCGAAGTAGAAACAGTAGTCTCAGAAGCCACTGGTTGAGTTGCAGATCCAAATATGGCTACAGCTGCCGCACTAGCAGCAGGGCGCTTCTTGCCATATTTTCGTGTCATGTTACTGTAGGGGGTTAGCGAAAGCTCTTCGTTATTTCCATCACCAATAGATATAATGATTTGAAGAGTTAGAGATGTAAGCACATATTCTAAGATTTTAACTTTCATAGTTCTCTCTGGAACGTGTATAAATATTGAATGTCTTGCGACAAAGGACTCAATGCACTCTGTAGCTGTCTGATACATGAAAGCCCTGACCTGGGGTAACTTCTTCAAAACTTCATTGCTGTCTTCGCCTTGCGAGTTTTGATGTTGATTGAAGTTTAGTAATGACATTGATTTGATGAATCTTCACTTACAAAGCAATAACTGACAGTCTACTAGTTGACTCTGAGGTGAATAATTTAGATATTGAGGCTCAATACTTTGAAGAATGCAAAGATTGATGCAGGTTTGTGGTGATCCGGCATTATTGGCTTATGGAAAACTTCAGATTCCCATATTCGGTAGTGAAGGGTAAACTTCGGAGAGTGGTTGTCAGAGAGATGAGATCAGGGCGGTGAGACTAATAACGTAGGCAGACTCACTCCATCTTACATTAAGCTCAATACAGTTAGTAATGATATCAGCCCAAGGCTACCCACAATTTCAAGCTTCGACACAAAAGCTCCAGGTCACCAACAATTCCAGGTCCAATCTCATCAAAAATGGCAGCAATATTAAATGGTCTCTTCGGAGGCTCCGAGCCATCTGCAGCTCCTGTTCAAGCTGGAGATTCTGGTGAGCATGCGATTGATCATATATCATAACCTTTACCTACTAATTACATATTGACAGACTTCGCCGATTTCGCTGGAGCTCCAGACCCAACTCCGGCTTTCTCTGCAATTCCCTCGGCCGCCGACTACACGGGCCCAGTAGCAACCCCAACTGGCGCTGCAGTTCCCTACACAAAATGGTACAATGTTCATGAGCGACATTCTTTGAATGAGTTCAAGCAAGAAGGTATCATTTTGGGATTGCTGATCATCATCGTTTCCATCCACTTGTTCGGAACTAGCACGAACCGCAAGAAGGCGAAGAAATGGATGACTGCACACGCACCAGTCCTGCGCAAGGAATTCGCATTGGTTGGGTTCGGTGGCCGCGCTCCAACAATTGAGGAAACTGAGCGTGAAGAAACGGCAAATTCATTGGCTAAACAACTCGAATTGCCCGAAGACATGTTGAAGGAGAAATCTCTACAGGAGTATGCAACATATGCGACTGGTCGTCAAAATATCGCATTCCTCGATGTCAACATCAAGCTTTTCAAGCGCTACAATCCTTTCGCGCTCATTCTCGAGTACGGCTTCAGTCTTTTCTTCGACACCGTTGCAACCCCCATTGAGCGTATGGAAGCTGTACTTTACCCCTTCGACGGTAGAGAGAATCTTACTGTTCCTGGTCAAGCTCCCGGTGCACTTGAATTGCGTAAAGGCACCAAGAGTACCTATGATAACTTCGTCTGGGCTATTGTAAACAAGGAGACAATGAAGCAGCTTCGTGATAGCAGATATGACGTCTCCATCACTGGTACTAAGGATAGTCCTAAACTTCCAAACTGGGCAACTGTTATGAGCGAGAGTGCTGAGACCACCGAGTTTTTGCTTACCCCTGAGCTTATCAAGGCCGTGGAGATGGCCGGGGATCTTCTTGAGCATCTTATCATCACAGATCAACCAATTGATCAGCCGTTAAAGTAAGTGTTTCACATATTGCATTCTGGTGTGACAATTTACTTACTATCATTACAGACTTGACGATACTGTTCCTAAGAAACGCATCTACTTATCCATGAAGCTTCCTTCCGGTGACGATTATTCTCAAGTTCTTCCTATGTTTGAACACTTCCTTAGAATCACGGATCAACTTGCATCTGGCGCCCACTTCCGTCCAGAAGTCATGCGTAAAGTTCGCATGACACGTGAAGATACTATCAAGAGACTTCAGAAAGTGGACGAGGACGAAAGAGCTGAAGAGCGAGCTATAGAACGTGAGAAGTCCAAGAAGTTGAAGAGAGATCTTGAACTGAAGGGCTTAGATGCTAAGGCACAAAAGAAGTACCTCGAAAAGGAAAAGGAGAAAGAGATGAGGAAAGCTCAGAAGAAACAAACTCAACGAGGATGATTGTGTCTATATTATGATTTATATATTATGTTAATGTATACAGGACGGTATGGCAAAATATTGGTAGGTGTCGGCTTGGGGAGGATGGGCGGCGGGGACGCGGGGGTGGGTTAAATGAGTTGTATGATATCAAGTGTAACAAGGTAGATACGATTATAATTACTATACCCCTTGGAATTTTCAATGACCATAATGATCATCATCTCACAATTAGATTTGCAAGGCCTTTCTGAGCCTGTCTAGTTTTCAGACCAGAAACTCAATGCTTATATAATGGAGGACTACTTATGTAATCCAAAGTTCTGACGTCCCACCAAATCAAACTAATCACTAATATACATATTTTAAAACACGCCATTATTTGATTAACTGTTCAAAAAGTATAGATGGTCTGTGCAGGAATATCAAATTCAGAAAAAGAGGTTTTATTAATACAATCATATAATAAAAAGAGTGTCTACTTAAATAAACTATTAGTTTTTATCCTCTCAATTGTGAACTTTTTAGTAATATAATTTTCAAGATTTTATATTAAATAATTGTTGAATAAGTAATTATTGAAATATTTTTGAAGAAGTCATAAATCGAAAGTTTTCAGATTTAATATAAACATGATTTTGATTGGTTCTTTTCATTATTAATCAAAATTCAAAAAAGCCTATCTTTTCAAAACTCTGAATAGTTTCAATATTAGCAAATATATTAGTTCCCCGATGTGATCAAAAGGGTATAAACAGGACTCCGATTGTGTACTTAGAATCTACAAGTGAAGAGCTATGTAGGATGCTAAAAGGAGGACTATATATACAGGTATTGGGAGCCATAAGGGCTAGGCCCAAAAGGGTGAAAGAGTCCTAGGCGTAAGATGCCTAGGTCTAGAGCTATAGAGCTAGGGCTCTAAGCTGTGAAAGGAAGGTCCAAGAGAGCCATCGTATCATGCTACATATGTAATATGAGCCAGTAAGCGGAAGAGAGCCGTCTGTTCCGTCACACCCGAACCTAAAGCGAGGATAGGGACGGATTGTAGTCACATTTTCTATATTATATTGAATCTTATACTAAGTATTCAGATTTATATTCAGATTCAGATTCAGAGTTCAGAATTCAGAATTCGAAATTCAGAAATTGAATCTACCTCACATTTTAGTTCAAAACGTAATGTATAGGCTACCTTTTTCAAAATTCAAAGAAAATAATCTGGATAACTTCAAAATTCATATTTATATTGAAGATATACTGAAAATAAAGTTTAATAAACAGTATAATTCTATAGCTACGCAGTACAAATGAAGGTGGAGGTCTTTTTAGGGCTTATAGGCCCTGAAGGGGCCGGAGCCAAGCTTGTCTTACAAACTATCATACACCGTTATATTTCGATCCTTCCCTTTGTAAACTACCAACGTATAAATTTCCTGACCGATGCTACTTAAGAAGTGCTGCTTGGATTAAGAGTCACAGCAGCAAGTCGTAATAGTGGCTCGTCCAATCGTTCTCCAATGCTGTTCCAGCCTCCAGGCGACGACGTATCGTAGTAGGAAGTGCTTGTATTCCATCCCATCCCATGCCAGCCTATATTGTATCGTATCATATCAGCCTGAATTGTCTCATCTCATTTCATGTCGTTGGTTGTTCAGCTCATCCCATACCATCCCATCCATTTCTGTCCCGTCCAATCATCCATCTATCCATCCATTATCCATTAAGGTTGCTCTATGCGGGTATTTTCCCGTCCCATCCCTTCCATCCCATCCATCCATCCATCCATTATCCTCTCAGTTTCGCCATGTACCCAGGGTATCATCCCATCCCATAACGCCAATCCTGATTCACAGAAACGTATTAATTCGCTCATCCCTTAACAAACTTCGCAGTCTTCTTCCACAACTTCTTGACAACAATCCTAACCGCTGCCCTCTCTCTTGGTACCTGAGCTCTATAATAATCCCCCTCAATTTCCAGCCCAAGCTCCTTCAAAATATCCCCCACACGAAGCTTTTCCCTCTTTGTCTGAACGAGAAGTCGTAGGTATGGATCGAGAACGGTCGGAACTGCAGCTGCAGATACTTTGATAAGTCCGACGCATACACGAATCCATTGGGTAACTCGTTCTGTATCGAGCGTGGCTTCATGCTGGCGAAACTCGATGGTGCGCTTGATACTTCCGATATTGAAATTTGGCTGCAGATTGACAAAGTTGTAGGCACCGCTGTGCATGCAGATGGTGTCGAGGAATTCTTCTGTGGTGGGAGGTGCTCGGGTCAAGATCCATTCAAGGACCTCTCCTTCCGGGTTCTGGAGGGATTGTGCTCCGATCTCGCGCCCCAAGTTGGAGCAACGGTGGAAGCTTGGACAGAACGTGTTTACTCTCCGATGAGGAGGGTGAATGGTCTCGATCCATTTCTCTGTAGTCCAGAGAATACCCCAGAGGTTTCTCAAAGTTTCCCCGTCGAAAGCATCAACTCCATTGCCGACATGGACATGTAGTCCCATCGAGTCGTTGGTAACGACTTTGTAGGTGGAGGCGATGATCTCCCATACTCTTGCGACATCGCTCAGCGCTCCCTCGCTGAAGTAATAGACGGGAGATTTGATTTCGATCTTATGGTAGTCATAGATCGTTTCGTCTGGACACTCAATGCTGAGGTCCGTCCCAATAACCCACTTGCTGGTCATTGCTATTGTATATCCCTGCCTTTGATACTCAGGGTGATCCATATGTATAGCTGGAAATCCAGCACAATTTAAAGTTTGTGCAATGTTTTCATACACATAATATCGTCCCTTTGCTCTGTATGCACGTTCTGCAAGGGAGGAGTCGCCAAAATGCGCTGGTCTGGGATCATAGTCCAATGGTGGTGAGTTAGCAGCCCGAGCAACTCCGTAGACCTTGCGGCCATCTTTTGGTGCTGTGTTTTGGCATATGTCTCTTAAAGTTGCCACTGCGATCTCCAACTCTACACCAAATGTTAAACGTGGTGACTTCCCGGTGGATCCTGCTTCTGGATATCCTTCTCCAAAAACTGTCTGCGAAATGTCAAGAGTTTCGGCATCCAATTCCTACACTTTTGTTAGCAAAGTTTCTCGGTTGGACTTTGGTTTCAACATACCGACTCAAGATTGACTTCCGTCATGTGCGTTGTTGGATCTCTCTTAACAGTAACAGTAGAGCTCATTTTGAAAAACTGTATTTCTTTCCCAATGAATGTCTGCAAAATATATTCACTGCGTAAACTCTCAAGAACCAGTTAGGTTAAGCGATTGGACCAATTGGATAAGGAGCGACTTGGTGAGATAGGAGGTGAATGCTTTGCTCTTAATCTACTCTTTCTTGAATTTAAGGCTTTGGATGGTTGTCCATAGGATTCAGACTTTCTCGTGTATAAAGCGTGCGGTAGGTCTACAGCGCGAAAGGACTGGGCGTATCAGATGTCTCTGTTCTGTCTGTCGCCGTAACAACAAAACGTTCAGGAAGCTTGGGTTTCAAGCAGAGGATCTCGTTTCGAGTCGCGTATGTTAAAGTATCGAGTATGCAATCTAGACTTGTATACAGAAGCTACGGCGGTTCTGCAAAGCAGAGAGAGAATGCGTAGTAATTGTCTTTGATCGTCTTCTCGTTGTACAAAAGATTGTAGGAAAAAAGCGTGGATCTATGGAGGGAATCTTGTATCGAGCGCGTTGGTTAGAGAAGAGTAAGAGATCGTGCAGCCGTAGTTTTCTAGAATTGTCTTCGTAAAAGAAATGGTCCCTGTGAAATAGATTCGACGAGATCGACGGAAAGTAGGAAGCGAAGGTTGAAAGAGAGAGTTGAGGTCTCAAGCGTGCGATCTTGCAGCTGTGATTTTCGAGAGTTCCCTTCCTCAGAAAACAAGGTACTTGTCAAATAACCTCTTACCAGAACGACAATAGATAGTAAGAAGCGTGAAATTGAGTAGACAATATTGTTAGAGAGCGCAAGTTAGGATCAGGAATCGAGTATGAGATCGCGTCGATATTTTCGAAAATTCCCCAAGTCGAAAACTGAGATATTCGCCAAATAGCTTTTGGCTACAACAATAGAGAATTAAAAGAGCTTCGATTTCGATTTCAAGGCTAGTGGCGCGAGGTCAAAATAAAAAGCCTAGCAGTTGGAACTTCAGGTATGCTATCTGAATCTTGTCTGTATTTGCCAGAAGGTAATCAATCTTTTGTTGTCAAATAAAGCTTGGAGAGAACTTGTTGTCATCAGAACTTGTTGTCATCGGGTCGTTGTCCTCAATTCTCGAGAAAAAGACTTTTATCTGGAGATAGGAGCTAGTGAGTTGTGCCTTTACATCGGCTGGACAACCACCTCGATGCCTAGTGGCCTCAGTAGACGCAATTTTCAGTCTTTTCATCTTTCAGTATTTCTTGCACCAGTGGAGGTACCTTGTCAAACAACCACTATCTGCAGAAACCAAAAAAACTTCCTTGTCATAATTTGAATTCATGGGTGATAGTGATGTCTTTGACAAAGCTCCCCCTTAGGAGCTCGGCTGGCGTTGGCCATGGTGTTGTTCTTTGTCTCCTTTTAATTTTTAATTTTCTCGCTTCGACGGGTTTTGGAGGGGTGGGGATGGGTACCGGCAGTATCCAAATAATCTCTTACATTTTGAATACAGTGTTGATACAACTTCCTCCTATGTAGTTGTTCAGGTGTGTTTGTCGTCTGATAATGTGTTTTGTATTCATTATGTAGTCATTTTGAAGTCATTATGAAGGATCAAACTGGCTGTTTTTGCTGTATCTACATCTGCATTTCCATCAGTTATTCCAAACGTTCGACTATTCTCTTTCCACCAAGTTCCGTTATGCAATTGCCCAAAATTTGCATTTCCCTTTTCAATTGTAATTGGAGCTCAACAAAACCAATTCGGGTTGTGTCTCTACACATCTTGTTGCATTACTAGGATAACAAGTTTGTTACATCTGTTACATCTGTTACATCTGTTTAATACACGAAGAGAAGAAAGTCTTCTTCGATTTGTGCCAGAACTCGAGATTTTTCTTCCAGTTGTGCCTGAGCTTTGTAGTAGTCGTTTATAGTAAGATTCCTAGGCCAATTGTTCAAAGGTTGTATTTTCCTTTCGAGTTCAATCGGCAATCGGCATTTGATACGCACGCGGCGGAATAGTCTCAGATCGTCATCTATATCGGCATCCGCTGGTTTGATTGTTCGATCTTTCAAAATATTTGGAGTTGGGTCGTGATCTTCTACCTCTGTGATAATACGAAAGCTTATACCACATTTAGGACTTGTCAAAGTTAGCTCGAAGCTTGCTTTCAAGATGATCCAATGGCCTCTTACCACTCTACCTCTCCATCATTATAGCTGTGGCAGATGGAATCGCATCTCGCACAGTTGTTGGACACTTGAACTTGACGAAAGATCATACTCATCTCGACTTTTTGGCCTGGAGAAAAGCATAATTCCCAGTCATCTTGAAGTTGGATGTCTCGTTTAGTGGCCGAATCTTGGATTGCAAAATCGCCATGCTCGATTATGGATGCTGCTCGACCAACGTGACTAAAGTTGATTTTTAAGACAGAGACGAATGCCTATCATTGTCAGCATTTGAATTAGAAAAGCCGGGAGCGATTTCCGTACCTCTTTCAATCGTATAAACTCCAAGTGGAAAGGCGTGTGTCGACCAAGAGCATCTATCAGGTAAACCGGATGCTGGCGATTCACCTGGCTGGGTATGTGAGTGATCACCTGATGGATTTCCAACACCATTTGAAAGACTCTGATGTTTGTTTCACTGTATATCTTTTAGTAATGCTAATCATAGGATTTAGTTACTTGGAAGCTAACATCACTGTAGATTTGATCTCCAGAGCGGTATCCAAGATTCGTTTACCTATGACGAGACCACTATGTAATGTTAAAGGTGCCAGTACATCATATAGATTGTGTACAACCTTTGGATACTTCCAGAAACGTCCAAAAGCCGTCGTCGCATGTAATCGAAATACCCGTCCTGGATTTGACCCGCAAGAGTTCGATGTCGTGAGGCCTGGTTTGCATGTGCGGTTGCCGAGGACCTGATACGCGTTAGCTCTGCTGTAAATCAATCTCGTCGCCTCACATCACTCACATTTGTATTGTTGTAATCAGCAACTGTATTGAAGTGTTATGACCAACTAAGTCCGCTTTGAACCTCGCCATATCTTCACTCTTACACGTAGCCCATACTATCTTCATCCAACCATCCTTCAATCTCGAAGAGGACCCACCACTCCTCAAATGAGGCTGATATTTTTGGATCTTCTTCCAGAACTCATGAATAGTAATCTGGCAGCGAGAGGCAGCTTTTTGCAATGCAATACCTTCCCCTTGTTGCGAGTCATTGAGCTCTAGTCTTTTGACACGCCTTAGAGTGTCCTCTAGAGTGTCGAGTTGTCGTACGATTTCTCGAAATTCTGAACTGCAATTACCACTCTCCCGAAGGGCATCGATGACCGTTGCGACAAGATCGATAGCGGCGATAAAATCGCCAACGGAGAAACCAAATCCGGCAGACATTTGTGCAAGTTTCTGAAAATTTTGTAATGGAAATCTGAATATCGAAGACTTTTTGGGGATGAACAGATCTAGGAGACATTTCTGAGGAAGTGGGTAGGTGAGGCTTGTAAAACATTACAGTGCAGTATTTGAGGTAGTACAAAACTTGTCTGTAGATAGAATATAAGAAATTGCGAGGAAAAGGATTGAAGATCAAGAGGGAACTGTGGGGAAGTGAGTCCTCGATTGAGATAAGGAAGGTGGTGGGAGGAAAGGGGCAATTGATGTTTCTGAGATTATTTGGGGGAGAAATATGGGATGAAAGAACCGTTCGGCTAACTGTGAATTATCTAGACTTTGAAAAACTACCTTGGAGACAGCCAATGTTTCTTTCAGGTCTCTCATGTCAGCTGCTTTTCGTCTGTCATACACAAACTCAGTGGTCTGTAAACTGAATTACCAATGAATGATTCATAGAATCTGCAATACAGGATTCAGCTAAAAGGGAGTATGACTGTGATCCATGCATGATTCTACCTTATGCAACTTAGATATTTCTCCTTGGATTTCACTTAAGCAATGCAGAAATACATCCACTAAAGACTCGATCCGAGATTTCTTCCACGATAGGGGGTGGGTCCACTATGTATCAAACCCCAAACGCCATCCCATAAACGTCTCATGAGCGACTTATCCACCTATGATCCACTAACTCTCCCATCTTAATGATGTCTCCCATGCCCATGCCCACTCCCGAACCCTCCTCCCAAACCCCCTCCGTGATGCACTCTCGAGCTCCCATGACGAAGCGAAGACCCATGAGACCCTAAACCACCATGATGCGACGCATGATGTGGTGCAGGCGCAATACCTCTATGCGTGTATTGATCTACGACGAGTGGCATGGTGGCTGTGCCGGGGTTAGAGCTGTAGGTGGTGGGAATTATGCTGGAGAGAGGGGGTGTTAGTTTTTGGTTGTTAGGTTTATGTGGGGGTTTTGGGGGTGGGAAAGGCGATGAGGTGAAAGGAGGGGAGTGGGAGTGGGAGGGATATGGAGTAGTATAGAGAGGGGCTCACGTGATGACTCGGGGTGGAACAGAAACAGCAGCATGTGAGTGGAGTGGAGGAGATCCGCCGTTCATGCCAAAACAACACATTGTGAAGTTGACGAAGTTAAATTGGGGTTTGTGAGGTATGTTGGGTATGTAAAGTCGCGAGGGGACCGCTTGCTTATATGGAGGATGAACTTTGGGTGGCTTGGTTCCAGCCTGGTGGTACACATGTCTTCAGTGAGGTGATACTTGTGCATTGTATTTTTGGTCCTGGAAGACAATGACGGATTCCCGGAGACATTTGTCATAGACGGGTTGCTTACTTTCATCTATCATTGACGACTTGGTGCATTGAAATGAATAGTTGTTTTGGGGTATGGTTTTTAACCTCAATTTGAAGGAGTAAGAATGTTTTAACTTGCTATTTGTCTTAACTACCTCCCTATTTTACTTTATCGTGTTCTGAATCAACTTATTTGCAGAATACAAGACTACCTGCAAGTTTGGTGAAGTGCGTGGCTGTCAAGCTCACTAGAGTTGCAAATAACATTGGTAGTGATAGCGGGGTATGAGGATACTGCATCGGATTCATAGATAAATAAGATGATATAGTATTAATCGTTATCCTGTTTACAGGACCCTTGAACCCGACCAATCCAAAGTCTCAAGATTTTGTGAAAGTGGATTAACTGCATTGTCGTCGTTGGAGGGTGGGTCACTTTGAACTGATCTGTGGTTTGACAAGTTTACATCCACTCTGATGCCATCGTCATACGACTCAGCTGACGCCGAGGACTTCCTGATGACTAGCCACTCTATGACTCCCAAGCGTACTGCAGATAGTTGTGTGCAGTTCAACCATATATACCCGGATGAGAAGTAGATTTTGTACACATCTCTATTGATACATGCCGAATTTCTCCGAATCCTGCAGCTTATACAACCCCTCTCATCAAGGTTTCTATTCCATGACGACGACCGCCCCCAATTCCTTCAATGTCGCAATAATCTTCTCCGCTTCCTCCTTTGGCACACCCTCCTTCATCATCTTCGGCGCACTTTCGACAAACTTCTTGCTGTCCACCAAACTCAATCCTAGCATGCTCTTGATCTCCTTGATAATCTTAGGTTTTGCCCCCGTCTCAAATGAAGCCAATTTCAGGTTAAACAGAGTTTTCTCTTGTTGTACTGGTGCAGCATCCTCCTCCTCAACTGGTGCAGCAGCTTGGGCAGGACCAGCGAAGCCTCCCATTGGCATATCAGGAATATTTAATCGTGACTAGAAAATGAGCCGATCAGTGAATGCCCAAGACTTTTTCAAACGCATAGATTTGACACTGTTGGCTTACCTTTAAGCTGGCAACTAAGTCAGCTGTCTCTAGTAAAGTCAATTGACTGATCTGGTCCACAATCCCGGAGATCTTTGGGTTCGCGGAAGCCGCCTCTGTTGACGCCCATCGCGCGGAGGGGCTTCTTCTCTGTGCAAGGGACGCTGTGGAAACGCGAAGAGAGGAGGATGATCGGAGAGATCTTATGCAGCTGCGAGCTGCGGACTGACAGGATAACGACATTGTGTGTGTGGGTATGGGAGACAATATAATATTACAATCTATAATTGTTGACGAGGACTTTTAGGACTTTCTGCATTGTGGAGCTAAATTTCTAGCTCGTCGGTGAAACTTCGGCTCCGTTAAAAAAAGTTGATTGCGATCAGAAAAAAAGTTCAAGATAGCAAGCAGCAAGAAAACAAACATTTGATATTCCACGAATTTTATGATTGAACGGTTATGGAGGTTATTCGGAATGCTAATACGCCTGACATAGCCATGGATACCACCCAACATACCAACCTCCCAGAAGAAATCCTTGCGATTGTCCACCTTCAACAAACCCCTCACTTCCTCGAAACTCTCGCCATATCTGCGCTGAAGCCCATACAAACTCTCAAATTATTCACATATTTTAATTCCTTAATCGCGGACTCAGCTGCAAGATGGGTCACCAATTCACATCGTGGAATTCAAAGAAATGAAATAATCGAAGCCTTTTCACGAATACTATATCTTGCGCCGCACCTCACTACCTTTCTCGAAAAATACCTCTCCGAAACTACACCCTCTGCAGAACATGGCGTTTCTCGCAGTATACTTTGCCTGAAAGATGGTGCAAGTGTCGTGGACAATGCTCTGTCTGATCTGGAACTGCAACGAATTTTGCTGGCAACATGGAGACTCCTCAATTTCGACAAGCAGGCCTACTCTGGAACGATTTCGGGCTCCACGATACAGAGTTTCCTCGGGCATACGGATTTAGCAGTACGATATCTTGCCGTAAGGATCTTCTGCCAGCTTCAATTCGCCTCGGATGATAGATTGGAGGCAATGATTGCGAAACATGTTGGCTATACAACGGCAGTAATGGGAGACTTCGACGGCGAGATGATGGACTATGGATTTCTTAGTATATTCGAAGAAAAACGGCTGAAAAATGCTGCTTCGGAATTGAGGACTGGGGCAGGAATGACTCAATCTCAAAAGTCTTCCCAGGAGTTTTCGCCACTTGTGGTACAGTATTCAAATGTTCTGTTACCTCGTCCGAACGGCCATCCATCGCAGCCGTCTAAGCTCATAGCAACAACCACAACTTCTCAGAATATGGAGTCTTTCTCCAAGGCCCTTATGTCTTCATCGCCAATCTTACTTCACGGGCTAGCAGGTGCAGGAAAGACTTCTTTGGTCAACGATTTTGCACGTGAACTTGGAATGGATTCGAGCATGGTCACACTTCATTTAAACGAGCAGACTGATGCAAAAATGCTTATTGGAATGTACGCTACAGGATCCACACCCGGGTCATTCACCTGGAGAGCAGGCGTTCTGACCACTGCTGTTAAGGAGGGACGCTGGGTGTTTATCGAGGATCTTGATCGAGCTCCGAACGAAGTTATTAGTGTAATATTACCACTTGTGGAGCGGGGCGAGCTTCTTATTCCAAGTCGAGGCGAAACAGTAAAGGCCAAGGCAGGATTTAAGCTTCTTGCGAGCATTCGAACCTCCCTGAATGTAAGTGGGGGTGAAATTCAGCCAGCATTACACATGCTTGGAGCACGTATGTGGCAGCGTGTACCCATTCACATGCCAACTCAAGACGAATTCCGCGAAATAATCGAAGGCACATATCCAGTCCTACGTCAATTTCTACCTGGAATTATCAGCGTCTATGAACGAGTCTACACTCTCTCCCTTAAGCCTTCATTTGCATCCAAAAGTCGTACTTCGATAGGACGTCCGATAAGCCCCCGAGATCTTTTGAAATGGTGCCGAAGACTAGCTAGTGTTCTTACTTCCTCAGGATCCAAAACTGGCAGTGAGCCTATCAGCGACAGCACAAAGTATGAAATGTTCTTAGAGGCAGCCGATTGTTTCTCGGGAAGTTTACAGACCGAGGAAGCCAGAAGGTCGGTGGTTTCTTGTATTGCCGAGGAAATGCACATTGATCCACAGAGCATGGAACATTTTCTCACTGCTCACATTCCTCGTTACGATGATGGCGAAAATGACCTTCTGATCGGTAGGGTGCGATTGACTAAGAAACGAATCAGTCGCGTTACCAAACCTACTAAAAAGAGTCGCCCCTTTGCAAATACGACCCATGCCAAGAGATTACTTGAACAAGTTGGAGTAGCAGTTCGAATGTCTGAGCCAGTCTTGCTTGTGGGTGAGACTGGTATAGGTAAAACTACTGTTGTACAACAGCTCGCGGATTCCTTAGGATACAAGCTCACGGCTGTCAACTTATCCCAGCAAAGTGAAGTCGGTGATTTGCTCGGAGGCTTCAAGCCTGTCAATGTCAGAAGTCTTGCAATTCCACTCAAAGACGAATTTGACGATCTTTTTGCATCAACCGGTATCTCCACCACCAAGAATCAAAAGTACATTGATCAAATTGGAAAGTGTGTTGCAAAGAGTCAGTGGAGCAGGGCATCGAAATTATGGCGCGAGGCACCCAAAATGTTCGAGAAAATCATTTCTGAGCTTGCCAATAGAGAAGAGGCAAATATGCGCTCAACCTCAGAGCAGCCCACGAAGAGACGAAAGACGGAATCAAAGTTACAGTCACTACTGAAATTGAAGTCTCGTTGGTCAAGGTTCTCTCTGAGCTTGGACCAATTTGATATTCAGTTGTCTGCGGGCTCCAAAGGCTTTGCTTTCTCATTTGTCGAAGGCAACATTATCAAAGCAGCTCGCAATGGTGAGTGGGTACTGCTAGACGAGATCAATTTGGCGTCACCAGATACTCTCGAGAGCATAGCGGATCTCTTGCATGGTGGTACCGGTTCTCCTTCAATCCTTCTTTCTGAAACTGGTGAAATTGAGAGAATTCAAGCACATCCAGATTTCCGTATTTTTGGTGCCATGAATCCCGCGACAGATGTTGGAAAACGTGATCTTCCTATGGGACTACGTTCAAGGTTTACCGAACTTTATGTTGATAGCCCCGATAAAAACTTAGATGACCTTCTAGCTGTTATCAAAGCATATCTCAAGGGTACGAGTAGCAATGATGACAGGGCTGCTCACGATGTAGCACGCCTTTACATGAACACTAAACGACTCGCCGAAGAGAAGCGGTTGGTCGATGGTGCAAATGAAGTACCGCACTTCAGTTTGCGAACATTGACTCGCGTTCTCTCTTATGTAACCGAAATCGCTCCGTCTTATGGCTTGCGCAGAGCACTGTACGAGGGTTTTGCTATGGGATTCCTGACTCTTTTAAATCGAGAATCTGAAAAGATGCTCATACCCTTGATTGAGCATCATCTATTGAATAGCCATGGTAACCCACAAGCTCTGTTGGCTCAAACACCAAAACACCCAGAGGATGGAAAACAGTATGTACGTTTTATGAACAAGAAACGGGATCGTCAATATTGGATGCTTCAAGGCTACGAGACCCCTCAAGAGCAACCTCACTACATCATTACCCCATTTGTTGAGCGCAACATGCTCAATCTTGTCCGTGCAACCTCAACTCGGCGCTTTCCAGTCTTAATTCAAGGTCCTACTTCATCTGGAAAGACCAGTATGATCGAGTATCTTGCTAAGTTTAGTGGTAACAAATTTGTGCGAATCAATAACCACGAACATACTGATCTACAAGAGTACTTGGGCACATATATCTCTGACTCCGATGGAAAGCTGCGTTTCCAAGAAGGATTGCTTGTGCAAGCTCTTCGCCAAGGACACTGGATTGTTCTCGATGAACTCAATTTGGCTCCGACTGATGTTTTAGAAGCCCTTAACCGTCTTTTGGATGACAATCGTGAACTTCTCATCCCAGAGACGCAGGAGATTGTTCGTCCACATGAGAATTTCATGCTCTTCGCAACACAAAATCCTCCGGGACTTTATGGTGGTCGTAAAACCTTATCACGGGCGTTCCGTAATCGTTTTCTCGAACTACATTTTGACGACATTCCGGAAGATGAACTTGATTTTATTCTCGAGAAACGAAGTCAAAAGGTTGCGCCATCAGATTGCCGAAGAATTGTCGCAGTGTACAAGGAGCTTTCACGTCTTCGACAGTCAACACGTCTTTTCGAACAGAAGGATAGTTTCGCCACCCTTCGTGACCTTTTCCGTTGGGCATTACGAGACGCAGACAATAGGGAGCAGCTTGCCGCTAATGGTTACATGCTTCTGGCCGAACGTGTTCGCAACTCGGAAGAGAGGGCAGCAGTCAAGAACATTATCGAGACAGTTATGAAGGTCAAAATCGATGTCGACGATCTCTACGGCAACAGTCTTCCAGAGATCAAAGCCTACAATGCGACCCCAAATTCGCAAGGTGTGGTTTGGACTCAAGCAATGCGCAGGCTTTATGTCTTGGTAGCTCATGCCCTCCGTAACAACGAGCCGGTATTGCTTGTGGGTGAGACAGGATGTGGCAAAACCACAGTATGCCAGATGCTAGCTGAGGCCTTCGGGAAAACACTCCATATAGTGAATGCCCACCAGAACACCGAGACAGGGGATTTGATTGGTGCGCAAAGACCAGTGCGTAACAGGGCCGCCGTCTTGGAGCAGCTCAGGCAAGATCTTCTGCATTTACTGAACGGAGTCGGTCAGGGGCAATCCGATTCTGAGGATCTCGATTCTTTGTGGGCAGCATACAAATCCTTACCCGAAACAACAGTCTCTCAAATACCAAGTGAGCTGTCCTCCCGGATTCAACTCAACCAAATCAAGGCAAAGGCACTTTTTGAGTGGTCCGATGGAAGTCTAGTACAGGCATTGAAAGAAGGGCAATTTTTCTTGCTTGACGAGATATCACTCGCAGATGATTCGGTTTTGGAAAGATTGAATTCTGTCCTAGAGTCCCAACGAACAATTCTGCTCGCAGAAAAAGGTGTTGAGAACTCTTTCGTTCAGGCTGCTGACGGATTTCAGTTTCTCGCGACTATGAATCCGGGAGGTGATTATGGCAAAAGGGAACTATCGCCTGCTCTCCGAAACAGATTCACCGAAATCTGGGTTCCAGCCTTATCAGACCATGCAGATGTCATACAAATTGTGGAAGCCAAGCTGAACCCAAAGCTAAAAGAATTTGCTGAGCCTATGGTAAGATTTGCGGAATGGTTTGGTGAAACATACCGGTCTACATCTTCGACCTCGGTATCGGTTCGTGATATCTTGGCATGGATCAAATTCATGAATGGATGTTCGACTTGCAGTCCATATCATGCTGTTCTACACGGCGCGGCTATGGTGTTTATCGACACACTTGGAGCCAATCCTGCTGCACTATTGGCAATCAACCCCGAAACAATACAAGAGGAACGCGCGAAATGCCTGCAGCAGCTGGGCACATTGCTCAGTCATGATGTCAATGCCATCTACTTCACGCCAACACAAATTCAGAACCAGGATAATTCTATCACTATAGGCGGTTTCTCTATTCCAAAACAGGCCGGCTCTGATAGTGACCCAGGGTTTGCATTTGATGCCCCGACCACAAAACTGAACGGAATGCGGGTGCTTCGCGCGCTCCAAGTTCAGAAGCCGATCCTCATTGAAGGTAGCCCTGGTGTTGGCAAGACCACACTGATTGCTGCCTTGGCACGCGCGTGCAACAGACCTTTGACTCGGATCAATTTGTCCGAACAGACTGACCTCATGGATTTGTTTGGGTCGGACGTTCCTGTTGAGGGCGCTGAAGCCGGACATTTTGCATGGCGCGATGCTCCATTCCTTCAAGCAATGCAACGAGGAGAGTGGGTACTTCTAGACGAAATGAACCTTGCCTCCCAGTCGGTTTTAGAAGGTTTGAATGCTTGTCTTGATCATCGTGGGGAGGTTTACATCTCAGAATTGGACCAGACGTTCAAACGTCATCCGAACTTTTCTGTTTTCGCGGCTCAGAATCCTCATCATCAAGGTGGTGGTAGGAAGGGTCTCCCCAGTTCCTTTGTCAATCGGTTTACTGTTGTCTATGCTGATGTGTTTAGAAATGATGATATGAAGCTAATTTGCCAGCACAACTTTCCTTCAATGCCGCACGAATTAATTACGACCATTATTGATTTCGTCACACGACTTGAAGACGAGATTGTTCGCAAGCGGAGTTTTGGCTCCCAAGGCGGTCCTTGGGAGTTCAATTTGCGAGACATCCTTCGATGGTTACACTTGCTGACATCTTCAGCTCCTTTGCTTACTAGCAGAAGCCCAGCTGATTTCCTGAATTTAATATTTCGACAGCGTTTCAGAACTAACAAGGACCGTGAAGAACTCGATGGTGTTTTTGCTAAGGCATTCGGTGCCGATGTACCATTTCGTCAATTCTTCCACAACATGAGCTCAGCTGCCTACCAGGTAGGAATAGCATATATGCCAAGGCATCCACTTTACCAACGCATACCATTTCCGAAAATCGATCCTGTTAACCGTCTTCCGGAGTTGGAGTCAGTAATCATGTGTATTCAACAAAATCTACCTTGTATTCTAGTGGGATCTTCCGGTTCTGGGAAGTCTACAATTCTTGAGCATATTGCGGCTGCCAGTGGCACATCTCTCACAGTATTTCCCTTGAACGCAGATGTTGACACCATGGACCTCGTAGGTGGATTCGAGCAGGTTGATCCACGACGAGCCGCTAGCAGGTTTCTTCAAGAACTCCTTGAGTTCATGGAAAGTCGTATACTTGGCACGCTTCCTGAACAAGTTCCCGATGATGCAATCAAAGTTCTCGATATTTTGAGAAAAGATGCTATGAATTCCTCTTTCTCGTTCCAAGAAATTTCCCGACACCTTCGACAGCTCGAACAGACAAGCTCATTGTCAGAATTCGGGGACTTGGCAGAGACGTGCGAGACTTTTGCAAGTCGTCCTATGGCCATTGAGAATGCCAGATTCGAATGGGTAGATGGTGTCTTAATCAAAGCCTTGGAGCAAGGAAAATGGTTAGTCTTTGATAATGCTAATCTATGCAGTGCCTCTGTATTGGACAGGTTGAATTCGCTTCTTGAGCCAAATGGATACCTCAGCATCAATGAACATTGTGGGCCAGATGGAGAACCCAAGATTGTTAAACCACATGCCAATTTCCGAATTTTCCTAACAATGGATCCTCGATTTGGGGAGCTATCTCGTGCCATGAGAAATCGTGCAGTAGAAATATTCCTCGAGCCACTCACTCCGGAGACTGAACCTAATACAGTCGCTGAGTTTTCTATTGTACCAGAAGCCTCACTTCAGAGATATCGCCAGGTATCAAAGATTCTAGACCTCAAAAGCTCAGATCTTAACCAATCAGATCTAATTAATCGTATTGCATTGGATAATTTGGCTTGGTCCGATTTGCCTCTTCTTACAAGATATGTTGAAAGCGTGGTCCAGAGTCTTGAGCAACAGGAGATACCTACTGAAAAGCTGTCGACAATCTCTCGGCAATATATGCAATTGTACCAATCCGAAGACAACCGCGATCTGAGACATGCAGTGGGAGATTTATTAAACAAAGTTGCGAAGAAGACCTTATTACCCGTGGGCTTCGGTGACGCACAGGTTAGTGACCGTGCCGTCCCTTTCATAGTTAATCAATGTACTGATAGCACAAATAAAAAATGTAGATCATCCATCCTCTCCAAAATTCGCCATTGGTGCCATTACTGCAGTCTACGTCCGATGAATCACAGGTTTATTGGGTTGCAGCATGCCTAGAGTACAAGCTTCAGATTGCTGCCGCATTAGAGGCCCATCAAGAACAGCAGTCTGTCATCCAAACCCTCAAGCCTTCCCAAATGAACCGCCTTCAGCGATCCATGGTCAGTGACAGAGTAGCTTCAGTCGCGAAGGACTCTACCGTGCGAGTCTCTCACTTTTTGATGCATACGCTTAAGTGCATCAATTCCTGTCTGAATGCTCACGTTACGGAAAGTGATCATTGGAAGGTAAGTCTTCAGCAAATTATCAATTGGGCTCCATCTAACCCCAACTTAGTTCCGAAAACACACAATCACTTCTCTCATTCGCTATTGGTGGAGTACTTACAACCTTGTCACCGCATCAAAATTTGAAGAGGCAGCGTTCCAGTCTCATTTAGCAATTGGAAATACTGTATTGGAAGGACTGTCCAAAGAGAGCCCTTTGATTGATGAGCAAAATTCAATCATCACGAGTTTTGCTTCAGACTTACAAACAAACTTTGCTTCTGGCTTTAAGCTGACAACAGGTCTAAGCATGGAGCTTCTTTGGAAACATCTTCGACCTGTAGTTGCTACCAAGCTTGAAGTCATGGAAATAATGGATCATATGGAAAAATTGGCTGCGAGATTCGACGCCTTGCGATGGAAAGCCTCAATCTCAGTCACTGAACTCGGGGGCATCATGATGTCTCTCGTTAAAGCACACCAACTTCTTCTATCTTCGGATGTGGACGGAGCTGCTCTCATTCAGACTTTGACCTCGGAGCTTGATAATCTTGAGAAAAGTATCGATACGGAAGAGGAAAGCCCCAGACCATTCTTGCATGATCAATTTGAAGCTCTGAGGCAATTCCAGGTACTCGCAGCTCTGGCATCTAATGAACAACCCGGTGATACTGTTGATGTTGAAACCGTTGTTCTTGCCGATCATCCCATTACATCGCAAATGCGTCTGGGTACATCAAGCCCAACTTCATGGCTACTACAGAATATCGATTATTTATGGTCCGGAGAGCATGGCCTTCAGCCTATCACGGGCAACTTCTCGACTGATTTCTTACATCAAATGAATGTTATTGGCGAGGTTGACCTCAAATCTCTTAGACTACTTGAGTCTGAGCTACCTGTCATGGCGGAAAAGCTTGCGAAGTCTAGTGGGATTTTGTCAAACAGCCAATTGGTGGCTATCAATCAAGTCTTGTCACACCTCACGGTGGGCATCATTGGAGCGCATGGCGACAAGAGTTCGAATGATTATCAAACCAGGAAAGATGTTTTCTCGGCACAGGCCAGCGCTAACGCCCGGCAAGCAATTACTCTGGACAATTTCTATGAAGTCATTTCCGCTCACCAAGCGACATTTTTTGATGGCCAACCATTAATTGACACAGATGTCAACTCTGATATTGACATCTCAATTTTTGCCATGGAAGCTGCAAATACTTCACCTCAATACAATATGGAGTATTCGGCTCTCGCTTGGGTTCATTTCGCCGTGGGCTGCATTGCTCTCTACGTTCCCGATCGATCTTTTGATCCTGATAAGAGGCAGCGACTCGAGCGACAAAGGCACGAAGAAGTGATCCAGGAGTTACAAGATAAGCTCGATGCCCTTCGAAATTTTGAACGTCTCTGCTCTGCTCAAGATTCAAATCTCCGCTGCCAACTTATTGAGGCAGAGATAGTAGAGATTGGTGAGCCTCCAGAAGCATCACAGCAAGTTTACCGCCCTGAAACGTCGGAGCTAGACAAGCTTCAGGGTGAGTTCAAGAATCTCTTGAAAGTTGTGCTCCCATCACCTGCTATTACCTCCAAAATCCATCAATATTTGATCAACGATGATCAAGATATCTTAAACGAAATAAAGCTCATCCAAAATAACGTCCTTCAAATCATACGACGTCTTTCTGAGCGTTTCCGCGCATACAGTGATCTTACTACACCTGTTATCAATATTCTTCACTGTCTCCAAATTGGGTTGTATATGGCGGCACTCGTATCAAAAGAGCCATCGGACAACAGTAAAGCAGCTTTGGCTCTAAGCAAAGCAACGCCATTCTTGGGAGGTACTCCTAATTCGATTGATGAAGAGGTTGTATCTGGTCAGCCATTAGAGTACTTGACATTGATGGCTACAACTACATCAATTGAATCTATCGACTCGTTAGATCTCCCCACCAGGGAATCGCTTTTTGCTTCGATTCACTCATGTTATGAGCAATGGACCAAAAAGCTTGATTCTGACCGCCTCGAGGGGGAAACTAAGTCGGGTCTTTACAGATACCGTGGAAGTGCCGAAGACGAAGATGAGGTTGACGAAGAGCAATTCAATGAGCTTTTCCCTTCGTATGATGAAGAAAGCCCAAGCGAATCAAACGCTACGTCACAGCAGCAAAACGTCAGGGACATTGCTGTCACCCTAGCTCTCGTGCATGGAGATATCTTCTTGGGCGGAGCATCGCCATCCGCAAGCATAATGTCTTTGATAAAGCACATCTCTACCCATATGGGCAAATTCAAAGGAAGTGAAGCTGGATTAGGGGATCAGAATATGATCAAGGACCTACTTCCAGGCTCGCTTTTGCTTTTAAGTGACAAAATTGATGCTTTGAGTTCTTCCGCTACAGTACCTGAAAATTACAATTTCTACACAGACGCAAACCTACCAGAAACTCGCAAGCTGGTGAATCTGATTTATCAAGTACAAACAAGATTCAGAGAGCTCCAAGCTGTGGATGAGATCGCGCACATGCAACCGCTTGAAGATGTCATGGTCTCGTGTAAAGAATTGCTTCGTTTCCGTCACACAGAGCCACTTGCCAAGATCATCACTAAGGTAGAGAAAGTCCATGGCTTCATGCACGAATGGCAATTTGGGGGTTGGGCGAGCCGTTCCAATTCTGCAATCGCTCTATACGACAATTTGACTAATACCATAGTCAATTGGCGCCGTGTTGAATTGTCGACATGGGCAAAATTGTTCGACATGGAAAACAAGCAATGCGATGACAATGCAAGATCCTGGTGGTTCGTCGCATACCAAGTTATCATTGCTGCTCCGTTATCGATGTGTGATTCGGTCGAAGAACTCAAATTCTATGCCCAAAAGCTTCTGCAGGATCTTGAGACATATTTCTCAACAGCTATCATTGGCCAATACGTACAGCGTCTCAAATTGCTGAAGCAATTGGAAAAACATGTTGATCTCCTGGTATTAGACTATCCAAATATGGCTATAATTGCGAATGCACTGGCGAATTTCATCGCTCTTTATTCACGGTACGAAAAATCAGTCGAGGATAGCTTGAAAATAGGTCGAGTATCGCTGGAGAAGGCCATGCGCGATGTGCTACTTCTTGCAAGTTGGAAAGACACCAATATCGTTGCCCTACGCGACAGTGCTAAGAGATCTCACCACAAGCTTTTCAAGATTGTTCGAAAATACCGAGCACTTCTTGGCCGACCCATGGATTCGCTTATCAAGCAAGGGCTTCCCGACGGAGCTGCCGCTAATGAGGCCGGAACAAGCTACCTTGCAGCAGCACAGTTTCCAACAGTTGACCAATCGGCTCTTGCATTATGTGCTTCCACAATTCCAAGCTGGACAGAGAAACCGAAGAGATTCATCAACGTATCCAACACTGTCAGCATGATGGTAGACAAGAGCCAATTACCCTCGTCTACAGTAGAAGTATCTAGCTATCTCGAATCATTCCTCGAGAACATCATTACGTCAACTTCAGAACTACAAAAAGCCACCCCATCAATCCTTACAGAAGACAACAAGGATACTGTCAAATATCTAAAATCCCAAAAACGCAAGGTGTTCGCTGATACATTGAAAGATCTTCGTCAAATGGGGATCAAATATAATTTGGGCGTGAACGCACTTGCTAAGCAAGAATCACTCTCTCTTGTTTTAGCGAATACAGATTACATCTCCTCAACTGGTTCCCATGATTCAGAGTACTACTTCCACAAGACAGTCGAGCTCGCTCAAAGAGCAAGAGAGGCAGCAAGGCAATATTCTGATGATCTAAGTAGCGCTGAGATTGTTAGAAGTACAGGATTCTTGGAAGGCTTGTTGCAAGCTCTTTTGAGCCAGCGCAACATACTCTCGAACACAATGACAAGCATGAATCTCTTCAAAGATATCATCAAGATGGCAAAGGGACTCTGGGCCCCAGAGATATACAATATCAAGACTACTACTACAAATTCTAACCATGAAAATGTCCTACGCTGGTTACCAAATATTTTGGGCGTTGGACTGGAGCTTGTCAACACACATGCAAAACTTAGTAAGGTTGACGCCAATTCAGTAGTAGAAGAACTGTCCTCGTGGAAAGATATATTGGTTGACCTCCGGGAAAGATGGTCCTCATCGTCTGTCTTGCCATCTGGAATCATGTCGACTCAGCGCCAAGAACTCAAAATGGCTGTCAATGATGCAACTCAGCAATTATCAATCGATTTGAGCGATCTCAACGAGCAGCGTCCAGACTTAAGCTTCATCATCGATCAGATCATACCTTGGATTACAATCAGCTCATCGGCAGCTGCAGCTTTCTCTAAGCACGCCACTCTGGAAACCCTTGATCAAAAACTGTCCACTGTTTGCAATTCAATCCTCGCAGCAATGGAGAAGTATCAGAAATCCATTGTTGATCTTCCAACCTCGACTGAAGAACAAGGTTGGCTCATGAAGAGCGACACTATCCTTGCAAACAGCATCAGAGCTCTTCATTGTGAGAGTGTTGCAGAACAACTCAAGCAATCGTTCGACATTCTTCGACATCTCAACCTCACAGACGACGTTACTAGCCAAGGAGCCGGTGCAATATTTGCAGTTTCTCTTCCAATCATCCAGCAATACTACAATACATTGGAAGAAAACATTGTTCGATACGCCACTTTACATCGTTCAACATGTAAGACCTCATACATTCTTGCCAAGACTTTCACACAAATCGCCTCTCAAGGTTTCTGTACCCCATCGGAAAAACAAGATCCGCAAGACGGCAAGACTGAAAAATTGGAAGGAGGAACTGGACTTGGCGAAGGAGAGGGGGCCGAGGATATCAGCAAAGATATTGGCGAAGATGAAGATCTCGATGAATTGGCTCAAGAGCCGAACAAAGAAGAAAAGGGAGAAATCGAGGATGAGCAAGATGCGGTTGATATGGCCGATGGTGAGATGGAGGGTGAAATGGGAGAGGCTGAAGAAAAGGGTGAAGATGAAGAAGGTTCTGACGAAGAAAAGGATGGTGATGAGATGGATGAAGAGGCTGGAGATGTGGATGATTTAGATCCTAACGCAGTGGATGAGAAGATGTGGGATGGAGACAATGAGCAGGCCGAGAAAGATCAAGAAGGGGATGATTCAAAGGGGAAGGCTTCCAAAGACGAACAAGTCGCAGCTCAAGAAAACAACAAAGAAGCTGGGGAGGGTGACGAGGGAGACGAGGGCGAAGAAGAGGAGGAGGAGATGGCTGGAGCGGAGCAAAGCGAAGAGGTCCAGCAACAAGATGATGTAGAAAAACATGATCCGCATGCCGACGAAGGGGAGGCTTTGGACTTGCCTGACGATATGCAATTAGATGGAGAAGAGAAAGAAGGAAGCGATGGAAGTGATGATGGGATGGATGATCTCCCAGATATGGAGGATGAGGCCAAAGAGACAGATGAAGTTGCGAATGATGGAAAGGAAGAACCCGACGCCGAAAACGCGGATGGCCAGGAGGATCAGAATTTGGACGATGAGATGGATGTTATTGATCTGGATGAAGAGAAAGACGAAGAAGGCGAAAAGACAGAAGAAGCTGGGGAGAAAACCGAGGAAGAACCAGAAGAAGACCAGCAGCCGGAAGATCAAGATGGATTACTGCGTGATCGTGACGATGAAGCAACAGCTGATGCCGAAAACGCGGTGCCGAGTGATGTTCAAGGCGTCGGAGAAGATCAGGATGACAACGAAGCCGATAAAAATGCCGATTCTAATAGCAAGGCCCAGAAAGAAGATGGTGGCCAAGGTGGCGACTCATCTGAAAACAAGCAAGCCGCTGCAGAGGACGGGGAAACTGGCCGACAAGCTGCAGGTGATGCTCCACAAGATGCTCAAGATGACACTCAAGATAGTTCTGCTGCTCAGCCATTCAAGAAGCTTGGAGATGCGCTCGAGAAGTGGCATCGTCAACAATCTCAAATCAGAGAGCCCACAGAGCAGAAAGACCAAAGCCAAGATCAAAACATCGACATGGGTACTGAAAGCAATGAATTTCAACATCTACAAGATGAAGATGCTGAAGCCGATACTCAAGCACTGGGAACTGCTACGGAGGAACAAGCTCATGCTCTTGATGAGTCTATGGCCGTTGATACAGAAAGTAAAGATATGCCAGAAACATTCCAGCCAGACGAGGCCGAGAAAGATTCCCTCGACGAAGATAATGTTATGGATCTCGAGGATGATGCTCCAGAACCAGAAGAGCCCTCGACCGCGTACGAAGGTCGAGCCGGTGCTTCCATTCATCAAGCCAAGAACAATATGGATGAAGATATGGACGACAATACGCACGCTCAAGCCAACGAGGACATGGATTCCGATGTTGAGGAAGTTGACACACAACTCGACAATACTCATCTCGATACTACTACCACCATTTCTGTGCGATCCGCTGCCGAAGCTCGTGCTCAATGGACTCATTACGAGTCTATCACACGTCCACTCTCTCTTTCTCTGACCGAACAACTTCGATTAATTCTCGCCCCTACCTTGGCAACTAAGATGAGGGGTGATTTCCGTACCGGTAAACGTCTCAATATCAAGCGAATCATTCCTTACATTGCCTCCTCATTCAAGCGCGACAAAATATGGATGCGTCGCAGCATTCCATCCAAGCGCTCTTACCAGATCATGCTCGCCGTCGATGACTCGAAATCTATGGGAGAATCTGGTTCTGGAAGTCTCGCGATGGAGACATTAGTCATGATTTCTAGATCTCTGGCTATGCTTGAGGTTGGTGAGATCTGCGTCCTCGGGTTCGGAGAGAATGTGAAAGTAGCACATGAATTTGATGTGCCCTTCAGCTCCGAGGCCGGTCCTGTCATCTTTGAGAATTTCGGATTCGAGCAACCGCGAACAGATATCACGAGACTCATCCGCGAGAGTATTGCGTTATTCCGTACCGCGCGACAAAAGGCATCGTCATCACCTGCAGACCTCTGGCAAATCTCTCTGATTATCTCAGATGGTGTATGTAGTTCTTCGGAACACGATAACATCCGTCGATTGTTGAGAGAAGCAGAGGAAGAGAGAATACTGATGGTCTTTGTGATTATGGATGATGTGAGAACCAAAAAGAAGGGAGAAAGTGTGTTGGATCTCAAGGAGGCGAAGTTTGTGAAGAATGAGATGTCGGGGAAGAGTGAGGTGAAGATCGAGAGATACCTGGATACTTTCCCTTTTAGATATTACGTTGTGGTTGGGGATGTGGGAGAATTGCCAGGTGTGTTGGCGGGAGTATTGAGACAGTGGTTTGGAGAGGTTGTTGGTAGTGGTTAAGGGTTGTTTTATGGGTGAAAATAGATTGGGGTTGTACAGTTATATTTGTGCTTTTTTTGCGGGTTGGTACAATGGGAGCATTGCTTGGAGTCGAGGGAGTGTATTTTGCGGATGATTTAGGATTTGGCTGAATGTACATGGTATTTTGTAGATTTTATATTGCAATGGAAAAGTTTTGTTTGATTACATGACTTGCAGCACAATTGAATCCATGGCTCAAGGTGTACTTGTTTAACTGTGAGCTTAATCGTTGTTGAGAATCAACTAGCTTGATATCAAACCGAAAGTTAGTGGCTGGAACCCCAGGAACTAACATCATTATCCTTTGCAAGGCATATGATTATTAGTAAGCATGATTAGACTCTACTTACAACATTGGGGCCTTTTACGTCAAGAAGAGCCAGGCAATGAGATGTTGAGGTTATGGAGGTAAGCTCATCCAATAAAGAATGCTGGGTACTTAATTTTGAAGTTCCGATTATATCGGACACGGAGTTTCAAATAACCCTAATCCGCTTGAGAATTGGAGCAGTACCTCAACAATCAACATGCTTATTGATCCCTTTAACATCTACTCATACACAAGATTTCCCCTTTACTCTTCTAAATTTCGTACATGAACAAACTTCGGACAGAAGAAATCATCTATCAAACTCCGACAGCCTCTCTATTTCTTGACCGTTTGCACCACCACCTGCCCTTCTAGTTGGTGGGACAGTCTAATTGCGAAGGGGGCTAAAACGATGGAGTCGTCGGTGGAGACTACTAGGACGCCTAAAATGTCTAGACATGGTAAGGCTTGTGTCAATTGTGCGAGGGCTAAGGTTAAGTGTGTGGAAAAGAATGGAGTTGGAGCTTGTGAAAGGTATGGATGGTTATATTATCACGTGATTCTTTCCCGGTTCCATGGTGTTGGGATTATGACTTTACTATTTTGAATGTTTTGGAGAAAAGAGTCTTTCCAACGTTCTTATTTCGACACCCGAGATTCACAAATTGGCCTGATTGGAAGTGTCTTTCGAACGATTTGTGATTGAGATGATTTAATGGTCTAATATTTCCTTCGCTGCGGTCTCATTGGTTGGTCTATCTAAGGAAAACGCTTACATTCATTAGGTGCCATCGACTTACCAAGGAGTGTCAACCAATCACAAGGACAAACAAGCGGAAGCTGGCGAAGAAAACTATAGCTGCAAAGACTGCAGAGCTCGAGCAAAAGCTTGATGGACTAGTTTCATTGTTGACTGCAGCTACTCAAGCTCAAAATACGCCTTCTTCAACAGTATCGGATCAAACTGCGTCGTCAGACCCTAAGGATAATAATGCTCAAGGTTTTGGATATCAAGTCCCAACAAATTTTGGCAATCCACCTCTGAGAGGACTTGACGCTGTCGATATAAAGCTTCCTGCCAACAGTCCTTACAGTATAAATTTTATTCCTGTTAATCCGCCTCTACCAGGGCCAACGCTCGGAAAACCACTTCGTGATCCTAGTGGTGATTATTGTTCTTCCAGCATACCCACGGTAACACAGCCGATATCTCTTATTCCGTCTGATCTACAATTGTCCTCGACAGAAGAAGAAATTGCACTATACCACTTCCGAACCCATTCAACAAAGTATCTCCCATTCATCGTCATACCACCGGATACGAATGTCCATGAATTTAAGAGAGAAAACCCGTTCTGGTGGCTGGCCATTGTGATGACTACGGCAAAGATGACCTCAAGACAAATCACACTCGGGATGCATATTCGTCAGCATTTAAGTCAGAAATTACTTATTCTGGGTGAACGAAATCTTGATCTTCTTTGGGGATTGTTGACTTATATTGCATGGCACGTATGAGCTCGTGGCTTCGATCTGGGGTACAACACTAACATTGAGTAGGAGTCAGTGCCATTATCAACAGAGACCAGTAGTATGTCATTTTATCGCAATGCATAATTCCTGATGTAGACTCTTCGCTGACCTTGTGTTTTGTAGTGGACGAGTATGATTCAGCTTGCTATGGGCTTGGTATACGACCTCGGGTTGAATAAGGCACCACCAAAAGAAGCCCCCCATCTGCTGTTGCATTTTGACGCTCGGGGGTGCCCAAAACCATTTCTACCCCCGGTTGGATCACATCAAGAGAAGAGAGCTTTACTTTGCTTATATTCGCTAAGTTCCAGGTACGTACTGTCGGTGCAAGATTGCGATGCATGTTTTTAATATGCGTTTAGCTTCTCGTTGTATGTTGGAAAGATTGATACTCTTCGATGGACACCATACGCAGAGGAATCAATGAGAATACTCTTACAAAACCCTGAATCTATCTACGATATATTAATAACTCAGATTATACGCTTACAAATCATCCAAGAGCGCGTGAAGGATGCTCCGTGGTACGATACAGCCGGTGATGATAACATCGCTTTCAAAGCACCTGCTTCTTTCTATCTCAAAGCGTTGAAGAGTCAGATGGAAACCTTCAAACAGCAAATTCCGAATCAAGTTCGAGAAAATGGTAGGTTTTTCATCGGTCTTCTTTTATGCATAGCCTCAACTAATCGCCATCAGAGACCTTTCTGATGCATCTATACAACACGGAACTCACAATTCACGAACTCGCTCTTTCCAAAGAACCTGTTTCTGATATGACGGATTGCCAACGCTTGGAATCTCTTTGCATTTGCTTCCAATCTGTCAAATCGTGGTTTCATCTCTACTTTTCTCTACCATGCAAAGAACACACCTCATTTGTTTTCCCTATTTATACACACTTAGCCCATTGTATGGTGGCTCTCTATCGCCTATCCGTCTTCGAAGACCCACAATGGGATGCCAAACTTGTTCGTCAACAATTAGATCTCTCAATCGTCCTAGATCGAATCGTAAAAAATTGTGAAAATGTCAAATACGAAGCTGGATTAGATGAGGGGTTGACTAGGATTGATGATTTTGATATCTATACTTCTAATGCGAAAAGGATTGGCTTGATCAAGACTTGGTGGGATGCGAAGGTTGCGGCGGAAACTTCAAGTAATGTGCCAAGCGAGAAGTTTTCGAATAGGAGTGGGAATGAGAATATGAGCGCGGAGCCAATGACTCAAGCTCAAGCCCAAGGTCTCGAATTTCCAACGTTTGGGATGGATATGAACCAGGAATTGTGGGATGATGGGTGGTGGCAGGATGTTTTCGGTTCGTGGGGTGCTCAGTGTGATAATATGAGTGCATCAGCCCCAACACTATATTAATTCTAAAGATGCTGGGTCTAAGGGAGTGCTAAGCAGTATTTTCTCTAGGACTTCAAGACGGGTATCACGATTAGTCCCCTCCTTTCCATGTTCAGAAAAGGCTGGGCTCGGGTAATCGAGAATCTCATTTCCATTCGTATGTATCGAGTAGTATGGGAAATAGAATAATGGGAATCATCTATCTGTCTCGATCATAGTTGCGAGAATAAGATAGTACCACTTAAAGAAGAACGAAAACTTGTGTATAAAATTCCGATTCTATGAAAGCTCCAACACTTTTCGATATTGGATATTGAGGAATCAACGGCGTCATAGAACGAGTAAGAATTCAGATTCCCACAACCTATCCTGCGTATCAGGTTGTAACATTATCAATTGATGACGGATCACGAATCCTAAATTCTTAATATAGATCGTATACTGAGGGAGTGATATCTCGAATAATAGGATAGTACGTACAATATGTATGGGGCTGCATCGGAGCTTGTTGAGAAATCGGCTCGGGAAATATTTTGTCGAAAAATTCCCGATTTATCTACCAGCAATGTCATCAATGTTGATCGGCATATTTTCTCTCTCTCTTTATATATATTTCAAGACTGACTTTTTGTCATACTTTATATTCTCGTCGCTCGTTCATTCTGTCTACCAATTGATTGTTGCTATTGTTCATAGTTGAAATTGTACTCACTGAGCGTGCATGCAATTAGCACAACCATCGACTTCACTTCTCCGAATCTCAAACTACTTTAGCCCATAAGGTTATAACTGGCAGATCCAATACCAAAATGGCCAATCTCGAAAACCTAGAAGATGGAGAGCACAAAACTTCGATCTCACATACCACATCCAGCGAAGATATCATTCTCAAATCAGAAACTCCCGTCTCAACCGAAACGGAGAAGAAATCTTCAAAAACACCAGAAATGCCGGTATCAGTCACGGAAGAAGTGAAGATCTTGAAAGGTGAAAATGCGGCTTCAGATGAGGATGAAGATCTGGAATATATTTCTGGATATAAGATTTTTGTTGTGTTGGCTGCAATTACACTTACGAGCTTTTTGGCGCTGTTGGATACTACTATTATTGCTACTGTGAGTACTGTTTTATGATTTGTGTTTTGTGGAGAAGTGATTTGGTTTGTTGTATTCGATTGGCACTATGAGGGTGTTGGATACAATAGATGGTGGTTGTGAGTCTGTCTTTGTGTGGAATTGGTAATATACTAATAGGGTTACGGTCATCAATGAAGAAGTTCAGCATTTGGAACCACAATGTACTTGCAGCTAGGAATACGAGAACGATAAAAACTAACACAATATACCCATAGGCAATTCCCCGAATAACCAACCATTTCCACTCATTAGACGACGTCGGCTGGTACGGAAGTGCCTATCTCATCACCAACTGTTCACTCCAACCCCTCTCCGGAAAACTCTACACATACTTCAGCTCAAAGTACACGTTCCTAACATTTTTCTTCCTCTTTGAATTCGGTTCTCTCCTGAGTGGAATAGCCGTCTCGTCCAATATGTTGATTGTGGGACGAGCGGTTGCGGGATTGGGATCCGCGGGCTTGATGAACGGTGCTATTACTATTTTAACGCATTCGGTACCTATTGAAAAGAGACCTGTTTACCTTGGGTTTATCATTTCAAGTGCTCAGTTGGCTTTGGCGGTGGGTCCGCTGATTGGAGGGGCGCTTACGGAATATGCTACTTGGAGATGGTGTGAGTTTATATCCACAAGTTCTCTGTTACAAAATGAAATGCCCTTTTCATGAATGATGCCCTCGCTTGGGTCTTCACTGAGGCCTCTTTCACACACAATATCCCCCTCAATTGTTTGAATTGAACGGGAAAACACAAACACTTTCATCCCATAAATCAAAGAACAATATCCCACGATAACTGACACAAAACAATAGGCTTCTACATCAACCTTCCCTGCGGTTTCCTCGTCAGCCTCCTCCTCCTCTCCATCACCATCCCCGAACGACTCCACCCCACCACCCAGACCCTCACCCCCCTCCAACGAATCCAACACCTCGATCTCCTCGGCTTCTTCCTCTTCGTACCCACCGCAATCCAATTCCTCCTCGCTCTCCAATGGGGCGGTACCACCTATCCCTGGAACTCCTCTTCCATAATCGGGTTATTCACCGGATCCTTTTTCAATTTTCTGCTTTTCCTCTACCGTGAATATTGCGCTGGCGACGCTGCCATGATCCCCTTTTCTATTGTGAGGAATACTGTGGTGTGGACTAGCTGCTGTGTGAATTTTCTGTTCTTGGCTAGTATGTTGACGTTGAGCTATTATTGCCGATTTATTTTCAGGGGGTGAGGGGTGTGGAGCCTACGTTGAGTGGTGTCTATACTTTGCCGGGGATTTTGTCGCAGATGTTGTTTGCGATTTTGTCGGGGTTTGCTGGTGGGTTTTCTTCTTCTTGTATATTGTATGTGGGTGCGGGATTGACGTTGTGTAGTGCAAAGAATAGGATATTACCTCCCGTTTAGTATCATCGGTGGTTGTTTCGCTGCGGTGGGCTATAGCCTGTTATCCACGTATACGCCCTTTACTCCGGCATCCAAATGGATCGGATATCAAATCATCGGTGGCATCGGTCGTGGATTATCTATGCAAATGGTAATCAATCCTCCTTTCATCTCCCTCTCCTTCATACATCCACTAACCAAAAACAAACCAGGTCCTAATAGCCATCCAAAACAATCTCCCCTCCACCAAAGTAGTCATCGGACAAACCCTCGTAATCTTTTTCCAATATCTCGGCGGCGCCCTCTGTCTCACAATCGCTTCTACAATATTTAGCTCGAAGCTCAAATCGGGTCTCGCATTCTATGCACCGAGTGTGGATGCGCAAGTGGTGATTCTGGCGGGAGCAACGGCGTATAGGGATGTGATAGAGATGGATCAGGTGATGAATGTGGTGATGGCGTATAATGGGGCGATTAATCATTGTTTTTATTTGGCGGCGGGGTTGGCGGCGGGGGTGCTGGTGTTTGTGTGGGGGGTGGGGTGGAAGAAGATTGGGAAGGGGGAGAGGAGTGGAAGGGAAGGTGGGGAGGTGGAGGTTTGAGGGTGGGGGAGAGGAATATGGTAGAGAGTTGTTGAAGGGGGAGAAGAGGAAGAGTGAATCTGGATTGAAGGAGTTAGGTAAAAGGAGGTAGGTGACTACCGCCTACGAGAAGACATCGTCCATATAATACTAGTAGATCCCCAGCATTACCTTCAAATATATCGTCTCAACAACGTGATCACTATTCACAAGTTTATGTCAAAAGACTAGACCATTTTTCTCCACCAACCAACTCGTAAATTTACAGACACCAAACCAACCAAAAGAACAATCTTAACACTTTCTCTCTCTTTTCTTTCTTTCTCTTCTTTTCCTTTGGTAGAAAACCCAAAAAATATCATTGATATCTTCTAGAATTTCATGCCAGTAGAAAACATCGTAAACTATGTACTCGAGTATTCTATATGCTTTACATATACATATACACATACTGACAAGAAAGAAAAGATAGATAGATTATCTGCTATATATATCTCGATCCTAGCGATTTCCGCATCGGGATTAGGTATGGAGCAAAGGTTATGGATTATAATGATTTTGGTGTGCAAGGGTAGAGTACTGCTATTGTTATTGCTATTGCATATATGTGAATGCAAATTTACTCTACTCGAGTATATAACAAGTTGTTCTTTGGGTTGAATGCAATGCTGCTATAACTTGATTTTGCTGGTGTGATTTGATAGATTTACTTGCGAGGATTCCTCTGGTTTGGTCTTTTGTTTATGTATACGAGGATATAGTGTGATGTAATTGGATTGGAGTAGGATACCGGGAGATGGAGATGCTACTGGGCTTTGGTGATGGTGATGGTGGTGAGAGCTATACTGCAATTTGACTTCATTCTAGCATCGTTGGAGCCTCAAGGAAGTTGGACTGACTGTCCTGATGGTAGTTCAAATGACTACTAGAATGAAATAATGGAAGTATTTGACGAAAGTATAATAGCTTGGTTGTATGAGATAGCAATCAAGAATATTGAGTATATGCAATTGTCTAGGGAAAATTGCATCGAATAGTGGCAACTCGCCTGGAATTATGCTTTTCCCTACCCCATATAAACGCCATTTTCAATCCCAAACTCCGTTCCCTCTCACTACTACCTCCATTTCCACCTCTATCTTCTGCCTCCATCTTCTGCGTTTCAAATCCTATATCCTTCCTCAAGAAGTCGAAAAAAGCGTATCCTCATCTCTCAAATACTCTCCCGCATCCGCTTGACGGAAACATACGATTCCCGTAGGATCCAATCTTCTCGACTCCTGTGTACTTCTGGCCGTGATTCCAAATCCCAATGGCGTATCATTCATACTGTAAACGACTACACCCTGATGTTCCGGGCAATCTTCCGACCATCTTCCAACATGCGCTTTCACAATGTGTCCACCATAGAGGAACGGCATCTCTCCATTGGCTTTAACCCAGACCTTGTATCGGGCGTGTTCAGCGAGGATGGGGAGCGCGGTGATGTGAATGCGGAATTTGCCTGACTTTGTGAATTTTCCTGCGAGGAAGATGTTAGATATGGGAACTTCCATGGAATTTGAAGAAATTTTTACCAATACAGATTCCTAATGACAAAAGCTTGTCTCTAGCGATAGAAGTCGCAAGGTTTGCGAGTGATAATCGTACATAGTAACATCTTGATTGCTGGACTCGAAAAACATATCGATCAGAATTTGGAGTATTATCCAATGGCGCAATAAGATTCTTCAATGAGTTTCCAGTATAACCCGCCAATTTCTCAAAGAGAGTTTTAGTTTCTGGTTCTGTAAGAGGACGCATGTTGAGATTGTGGTATTTGAAAGATTGTTGTTGAAGTTTGCGAAGTTGAAGCTTCTAGATTTCAGAGTGCCATGAATTTTTTTGGAGGGATGCGAGGCTGGAAACTTTTTTTTTGCGGGGTGAGCGGCCGCCCGTAGCCCGCTTCAGAATATTTTCTACAGAACCTTGAACTTTTTTTGAACAATAATCATTATACACCCTCTACCACGATTGATTTTGCGACACGATTGAAGATGGCAAAAGTACCAGCAGTCAAAAGGCGCAAGCTTACACCTCCTCCAACAGATGGGGAAGAGCCATCACCGTCGACTTTAGAAAATGCGCCGGCACCGAATTCAAATGCGTTTTTTAAGACGGCTTCGAAATGGAATTTAGAGCAGGATTATGAATCGAGACCGCGAAAAGGAAAGAAGGAGAAGAAAGAAAGTACCAGATTACCAATCAAAACCAAGGAAGGATTGGTGCAGCAAGTAGAAGCGCCAGTGGAGGTTGATGAGGAGGAAAGTGATTTGGAATGGATTGGTGCGGACGACGTCGTGGATGATGAGGAACCCGAAGAAAAGGTCGACGAAAAGCCCTCTGTACCGATTCGACAACAGATTATGGAAGCCAAGGAAGAATTGGCACGGATAGCGTTGATGTTGAACGAGGATCCGGAAGAAAACGTGGGAGCATTTAGAGCTATATCAGAATTTGGAAGATCGCACAATATTACGATCAAGAAATTGGCACTGGCTACACAATTGGCCGTCTACAAAGATGTTATTCCAGGATACAGGATACGACCTTTATCAGAAGAGAACATGGAAGAGAAAGTTTCGAAAGAAGTGCGAAAGTTGAGGGCATATGAGCAGGCTCTTGTGGGAGGATATCAAGCATATGTGAAGGAATTGGCCAGGCTCGCAACATCCGGGAAGCCTCATAATAAGAGTGATGGTGGTGCAAGTCTTCCAACCATTGCTATATCTTGTGCTTGCGCATTGTTAGAAGCTGTGCCCCATTTCAATTTTCGATCGGATCTATTGAAGATATTGGTAGGAAAGCTTAGTACCAGAAATGTAGACAGCGAATTCGTGAAGTGTCGAGAGACTATCGAAACATTGTTTAAGAATGACGATGACGGGACCTCATCTTTGGATGCGGTCAATACCTTAACGAGAATGATGAAGGGGAGAGGATACAGGGTGGACGAAAGTGTGTTGAATACCTTTTTACATTTGAGATTATTATCAGAGTTTTCTGGAAAGGCATCGACAAATCATGTCGATCCTGAGGAAGACAGCTTCGGGGGCAAGAAACTAAAGGAAAAGAGGGTATTCCGTACCAAAAAGGAGCGAAAGTTGGTGAAGGAGCGAAGAGTAGTTGAAAAGGAGATGGTTCAGGCCGATGCAACAGTCAGCCACGAAGATCGAGAGCGTATGCAATCAGAAACACTGAAGCTTGTGTTTGTGACATACTTCCGCATCCTAAAAGTTCGATCTCCATCTCTCATGGGCGCCGTACTGGAAGGTTTAGCACGATACGCCCATCTCATCAATCAAGATTTCTTTGGTGATCTCCTGGAAGCGCTTAAAGATCTTGTTGGTCACGCCGAGACAGGCGACGATCTTGAGGAAAACGAAGCGGAAGACGAAAACTCTGAAGCCTCCCGCAATCTCACCCGCGAAGCTCTCCTTTGTATCATTACCGCATTCGCCCTTCTCGAAGGTCAAGACGCACATAAAGCTCAAGTCTCGCTTAGCTTAGATTTAAGTTTCTTCATCACTCATCTCTACCGCACCCTGCACGCCCTATCTCTCAACCCCGACATTGAACTCTCCGCCAAATCCCTCCATCTACCCGACCCCCACGCCTACTCGACCAAAAACAACAAAGTCAACATCCAAACCACCACCGTCCTTCTCCTCCGCTCTATCTCCTCGGTCCTCTTACCACCCCTCGCCGCTCGCGCAGTGCCCCCTCTGAGAATCGCTGCTTTCACTAAACAACTCATGATCTGTTCTCTTCAATTACCCGAGAAATCCGCTACGGCGATGGTGGCTTTGATAGGGAAAGTCACCAAGATTCACGAGACGAAGGTGAAGAGTCTGTGGAATACCGAGGAGAGAAAGGGTGATGGTATGTTTGATGGTTGTAGTGTGGAGGTGGAGGGAAGTAATCCCATGGCAAGTACGATTTGGGAGGGAGAATTGTTGAGGTTGCATTATTGTCCGGCGGTTAAGGAGGGCATGAAGGTGGTGGAGAAGAACGTGATTGGTTTGAAGGGTTAAAGTAGAGAGTTGATAATGAATGTGTGGAGATGAGGTTGAAATAAAAATTTATATTTCTAGACTATTCTATTAAAAGACTTGAACGTGTGTTCGTGAAATATATGCAAACGCCGAAGATAATTGTGGTATAAAGCTATACATGTTCCCAGTTCCCTTAATTCAGTTTGGTCGATGTATCCGTCCATTCATCCACTCATCACAACACGCAGCCCACAACCCATAATCCATCATCCTCCCCCCGATCCTTAACCCTCTCATCACCCTCCCATTCATTTCCCACTCCCCTCCACCCTCCCATCACCCTTCATCCCTCCTCCCTTCGCCATCCCATCACCCTTCCCACCCCCCATCCTCTCCCTCTCCCTCTCCCTCTCCCTCTCCATCTCTCCTTCCCTCCCCCTCCCCATCTGCCCCAACATCTGCGCAAACCTCCTATCCGCCGTAGCCTGACTTTGCCAATCGAGTGATGTGAGTGCTGAGAGTGTTACCGAGAGTGTGTTTATGATTATTATTGTTACTGTTAAGGCTGTGAGGGGAGGGGGGAGGGGGTGTTAGTTTTTGGGTTTGTGATGGAAGGGTGAGGGAGAGAAGGAGGAGGAAAGGGAAAGGGAAGAGGGAAGAGGGAAGGGAAGAGAGATAAGGGAAGAGGGAGGGGAAGGGGCATAAGAGGGAAGGGGAAGGGAGAAGGGAAGGGGAAAAGGGAAAAAGGGAAAAAGGGGAAAGAGGGATAACCTTTCATATCATCAGCATTTCCGGGTTTCAAAGAAGCAATCGAGGATATGATAAGCGAGACGATAGAGAGTGTGACGGATATGTAGACAGAGAAGCGTTTCCAGAATTTGGCCGTTAGGAAAAAGGGTTCCTGTTTTTTTTTGGGCGGTGTTAGTAAATGTTTTTTGTGTCCGTCATAATATTGTTTATTTGCTGTTTTCTGAGTCCTGAGATAGCTGGTCTATCTGATCTGTATCTTTGTTTTAGATATCTGTGGTTTGGTTCAAGACATCGCGAAATCAACGTGACTCGAGAGCAAGCCAGAGCGAAACAAAACAAACAGACAGACAAACAAACCTGTGTCGGTAAGAATGCAGAAGATCCAAGACCTTTTTCTTCAGTTTGGGTATTGGTATTGGTATTATTATTGGTATTCGAGGTCATATCTAAGCTTTGTGGCTTCTGAGCCGTGAACATATTTCGGGAGCTATAATTAAAGGTTTCGAGAGATCTTATCGGTTTGTCGGTAGGCTGTTTGTGGCGTAGAACTTGTATGTTTGTCACGGTCTGGGCCTGGAGAAGATATTGAAGATAATGAATGATTCACAACGCGATGATTCGGATTTGATGAATGATATCAAAGGTTGTTATTTCATATTGAATCAGTACAGAAGATGGATGAAGAGTCATGAAAGCATGGAGATGTGTTTGAGTAAGTAAAAGAAGCTGGGAAATATCAATAACTGTATGTACTTTTATTATTGATGTTTCAGGAATCGGAATAGGTTACTAGGTCGTGTGATGGGGCTTCGATTGGAGAAGGTCACGATTGTGTTGTTACAGCTGTATCTGTCCGGTGGTTGAGACATCGAGCTGCTTTAATTACTATAAATGAGCTACTTTTATCAAAGTCGTGGGTATTACCTACCTAGGTAGATGATGAAGGTATTACAAGGCAAAGAAAGGTATGCAACATTTTGATCATTTATTCCTTCCTGCTTAACAGCTACATTTTCACAACTATCATTCAAGTAAAGGGGTTCTCGTTGAAGTGTTATGTATAAGTGTACAATCCTGACGTTATACGAGTACAGTGTATATACACCTACCGGTACTCGAGTGTAGTCGTACCTGCCATATTTAGAATGCCTTTAAGACTACCTAAGCAACTACTTCATCAAAACTACCAAGTACTCTCTGATGATCTTTTATCATAATAATAATTTGGATATCACGTCAACAATCTTTTGAGAAACGTCCAACATGGCTGATTTAGGATGCAAAACTTGTCAGCCCAAATCTGGCATGATTTCAATACAAGACCTACAAGTATCGTGCCGAGGAGGCTATTGTACCGTCTGCTTTATTTTAAACCAAGCTCTCAGAAAAAGTATGATCAAAGTGCCAGAGGATTGTCCCGACAACTTTTGGGCATCACTTTATTTTGAGCGTTTCTCCTTTCCTATGTCCCATTTACATATTTCACGCAAGACACCATCAAATACATACGAAAGAGTTGCGGATCTCGAGATTTACACGCCAGGTATTTGAAGAGGGAAATCTTCCATTGACGGATGTATGCTCACGAGATCAGAAATATTGCCAGAAAGGCTAATACAACATGGAACCGATGTCTCTTCTGCAATGGATTTGGACCATGCTGTATCAGTTACTCGACGATGGCTACAGTCCTGTTTGAAAGACCATCCCGTCGCTTACCCCGGACCTATGCGGGCACGTCCTTCTGTCCTGCCAAGCCGTATCTTGGATATATCTCTATCGGACTCGGGAAATATTTTCTTAATTCAGAAAGACGAAGTTGGACTATTGGATGGCGAGTGTGATTTGCGATATGCCACTCTCAGCCATTGCTGGGACCCGGGGCAAAACAGGCAATCGACTACGACAAAGAATTTAACGGATAGATTGAACTTTATTGACGTTACTGAATTATCACGCACCTTCCAAGACGCCATATTGTTCGCTCATGCTTTGGAAATAAAGTATCTATGGATTGACGCTCTATGCATCATTCAAGACAAACACTCCGACTGGGTAATTGAATCGTCACTAATGGGCGACATATATGGGTGCAGCTACCTCAACATCGCTGCAACGTCTGGGGCAGATGGCTACCATGGTCTTTTTAATCTACGATGGGCCCCAGATATCAATACTCCTACACGTCGAAGCCTAATAGACTCCATAGAAATCGGATTGTTGAAACGGGCTTCCTGTGTTTCTAAGTGGGATAGGGTCATGATGCGATGTAGTCTCAGCCGTTCGCATGAAGATCTCACAAATCCTTCGGACAACATCCAAGTTATTGGCCAAGTATCGCCACTATTGACTCGAGGGGTATGTTCTTCTTTTTATTCATCCTGTGCGATCTTTTGTCGCTAGGCCAAAAGATTACCCTTTATCAAATATTTCAGTTATAGCTTCCAGTGGCATTTATTTGAAACTTTAATAGTGTCTAAAGTTTCAGACTCATTGGGTTAAATAAGTGGTTTTCAAAGAACCAAAGCTTCTCAACGGTTAAAGCTTCCCAATTCAGAGCTTTTGAAAGATTCACAGCTTGTTGGACATTCCGAATTTTTCGAGTAGATTGCAGCCTGGGTCCGGGTTATTGGGAACCATGATCTCGACATTAAGCTCAGCTAACTTCTTGTGCTGTAGTGGGTCTTTCAAGAGCGACTTCTCTCCCTTCGAACAATCAGTTTTCATGCATCAGAGCTTACCTGGGATTGCCAGTATGGATCTAAATGCGAATGCGGTGCATTATCCTCAGTTGACACGACTGTGAATAATATTACAGCAAGCCGATCAGGGCACTTTACCAAAAAGAAACTCACGGAGCTTAGCATAAACGTGACTGGCGACCATTGGCACGATTTCGTGTCTCAATATTCAACCTCAAGATTAACGCGTGCTTCCGATTATCTACCTGCGATTTCTGGTATAGCACGCCACTTCGAGCTCATGAGATATGATTCATCCCAAAAAGCGAGAAAAGTCTATCTTGCTGGGCTCTGGAGCTACAATCTTTCGAGAGATCTTTGCTGGTATATTCAGGTATCTGGGAATCGTTGTTCCCCTTCACGAGCAGAACCATACCGAGCACCTAGTTGGTCATGGGCTTCTGTCGATTTCACCGATCAGAACGCTCGTAGCCCGACTGTATGGCATCCTAATTTCCAGAAGAGCTTTCAACAATACTCAAGATTTGAAATTCGCCATGCAGAAACTCAAGTGACTGAGAAATACTATCTTCGTCGTGGCGAGTCGGATCTCCGTGATAGAGACCAGTATGGTGCGGTTTTGGGTGGAATTTTACGAATTAGAGGTATCCTCATCAAAGCCCAAGTCTGTGTACACCCAATGAAAAATCGGCCAAATGTTGGAAGGCATACGATTAAATTCTTGGAAAAAAATACATTGGACGAAAAATGTACGGATGTACAACTACCAAGTCTATATCTCGATATTTCCCTCGTTGACATTCAAGAAGCGCAAATGTCCCTACAGCTCTCTGATATTTCACTAATTTTAGATAAGGAAGTCCATGATCATGCCATGAAAGTACTGGAAGAGGAAGCGAGCAACCAGGAAGAAAAATTGAGAGTCTGGATTTGCATTCTGGGAAAAATAGCGGGCGGTGGGATTTGCGCACTAGCGTTAAGAGAGCGGAATCAGGGACAGGCAAACTTGAGGAGTTTTGAGAGAGTAGGGTATTTGCATAATGAGACGGATACGGATACGGATGATGAGTGGAGTCGGAATTTTAGGAGGAGGGTGGAGAGGGAGGAGGAGATTGTTTTTGATATTTGGTAGGTGGATGGAATGCTGGGTAGAATGAGGTGATGCTGGGTTGGGGTTGGGGCTGGAGCTGGGGATGACTTTTGTATATTTTTTGAGGGAGGGATGGAGGGAGTGAGGGAGGAATTGAATGTTCTTATTTTGATGGCTTGAGTGAGGTGAGTCTCTTAGATAGATTGGATTCTGACTTGAGGGAATTATTTCATTCTTCTAATCATCCCAGGCCATCAAGTTCGGTGCCGTATAGGATAGAATAGGATAGAATAGGATAGAGTAGGCTAAATAGACACTGTCCAATCTCCATCTATCGAGATCATATTACTGTGACAGTATACAATATCCGGAATCCTCCCGCCCCTCCCCCCCCCAAATCTCTTGAAACACTTTTTCTCAAAATTTGTGACATTGGATTATGTGGATCTTTGAGGAAGGGAAGGGGGAAGATTCTACTGTATTGATTTGAGTAATTAATGGGGTTTATTTGAATGATTCAATTTATTTGAGTTATTGATTGATTTGGAAATGTTTGATCTGAGAGATATAATATTAATACAGCTGAGAGGATTTGAGGGGTTCAAGCGAATGTTAATACGAGTATAGAGAGGAAATTTAACTCATTTTAGAGATGATGACTTTTTGTAGAAATTAAGAATTAAGAAGTTTAGGTGTATACTTTGACACTGAGTTTTAATTTTTTTTTGGTATAGTATGTAATCTTATGGTACATTGATTGATGTTTTAGGAATTGTGCTTAGCTTGGATATCGCTTATATAAGAGGCAGTAGCAGTAGCAGTAGCAGTAGCAGTGGTGATGCTTTTTCGGTATAGATGTTTCGAATTTATATAAAGGAATACTGTATGTAGGTGTAGTCTTTTCGATGATAGATTCTACGAGATGAGAAGTCTAATACAGTAAAGTACCAGTATCAAATATTTCCAAGCTCGACCCGCCTGTCTGTGCTTGTCCCATGTTTTAGTGCAGATCTACGAATTTTAGTCTGTTAACTAGACCTAATCTAACCAGTCTGTTAGGCGCGGCCGCGTGGGTGGGCTAATCTTCGCTTCCGAGATCGTCGCATTTTCTCCACGCGGGATCTAAGCGGGATCTACCGAATAAAAGTACTGTACACGGTCTGGCCCGACAAAACAAAACAAACAGAACGATATTCAGAATTGAAATCATCATACCATGTTTAAACTTCGAAATGTTTTGCATTGATTTGTTCATCTGTTCCATATTGTGTTCAACTGATATGTAGAAGAGCATCGAAGAGCCGCAAATCCTTCTCAAACAAACTCTTTGGTTCATCCATCAATCATGAAACGATGTCTGTGCTCAGAGCCAAAGCAAATCTTTGCCAAATAAACATTATTCCGCACCATATTTATAACTTCATTAGTGCCAGTAGGCTCGAGTAGTCTCGAGTATCTGAAACTTCAACTACAAGATGTCGGTGCTCGGTCATTTTACTCTCCGATCTCATACCTTCTTCAAATCTTTCCACACTTTTTCTTCATCGCAGCTGCAAAGTTCGTTGCAGACCCGTATGCTTCGGCCAATGGGATTGGAAGTTCGTTGTTCGGTGTGTTTCTTGTCCGCGATTTTATATATCGATGATGAAGTAGTTAAAGTGTAGGGACCATTCTGCACGGGCAGCAAGCTACGCACTCTCGATTTGTAGTTGTTTTCAAGCCAGCATGCATATGTAGTGAGAGTGTGATCCAATAGTCTGATCTGCATAAGTCGGAAATATTACTACCTGCCCGATCCCAAGTTCTTTTCCTGATTTTGCAGTATCGTGAATTTCCGTCTCCACTGAATTGCATACTGCATCATGCCAATTGAAGAGATGGCTCAACCCGAGAAGAAAGAGCCTTTATACGAGTTTCCCTATAATGCAGAGGATTATGATTACCATTATTATCTAGATATTCCCTTCGGATATGATGTCGAGACTTCAACATATAACTCAGCAGTAGAAACTTCGCGGGATTTTTCCACATCCATTTACGAAGATTCTTACGAGGAGGGAAAGATGGAGAGGAAGGATAGTTTGGAGCTGGCATCTTTGAGTTCGGATTCTACATATACCACTCCAGACCCATCTTTACGAGGAGATCTTCCGCCAATCGCGAGGCAACAGAGTACGAGGAGTACGAGGAGCACGAGGAGCAATAAAGGCACGCAAGGGTTATTTAAGATAATGTCGATTAGGAATTTGAAGTCTGCTACCTCCCCGGATACTTCTGGAGAAACACTTGGTGCATCTCCAACTCCTCCAACGACGATGCTGCCAACGGAATCTAAAGAATCTGGTGGACCGCCGGGACCAATGGGACCAGCAGGAGCTGGAGCGCCTGGAGGGCCACCAAAAGAAGTGTTCCCAGAGATGGATATGGAAAAGAATTTGGTAGGATGGACGGGACAAGATGATCCAGAACATCCAAGGTATGTTTTGTTGCAGGATTCTGTAGTCAAGTCAAACTGATACTGACTTCGATAAGAAATCTTCCAAATAAGAAGAAATGGTTGATGTTGGCGTCTGTCAGTTTGATTACATTCTTGAGGTATGTCCGATCAATACTTCCTTCGTATCGCATTCTCAACTAAACAACTGTAGTCCTCTATCCTCATCGATTGTCGCACCTGGAATAACTCTCATGAATAAAGAATTTGGCAACACTTCGGATATCTTAGATACCTTTGTTGTTAGCATGTTTATTTTTGGATTCGCAGCTGGACCACTCATTTTATCCCCAATGAGCGAAATCTATGGACGTCAACCAATCCTCATGTATTGTAATTTCCTCCTGACGATCTGGTAAGATTATTCTTCGAGATAACTCTCACTCGATTTTGCCTTCGAAACAAGACTTACTCACAATACAGGCAACTCGCATGCGCTCTCGCCCCAAACATCCACCTATTAATCCTCTTCCGCTTCTTCGCCGGGCTCGGAGGCTCAGCCTGTCTCGCCATCGGCGGCGGCGTCGTCGCAGATTTATTCCCCATCCAAGAACGTGGAAAAGCCCAAGCCATGTTCGTAATGGGACCACTCTTCGGACCCGTCTTAGGTCCCGTCATCGGAGGATTCATCTCCCAGCGCGCCGGATGGCGTTGGGTATACTGGGTATTGCTAGTCGCCTGCGCCGTCCTTTCAATCTTCTACGTCATCGCCGGAAAAGAAACATCGGCGTCTGTCATCATCCGCCGCAAAACCATCGCTCTGCGCAAAGAAATTGGAAATCCGGATCTTCTCTCTGCATACGATGCCAACAAACCGGCCGCAGCGCTGAAACTCAAAGCTGTGATTCTAACGGGTATAGCAAGACCATTCCGCATGATGTTTTCCTCTCCAATTCTCCCTCTCCTCGCCCTCTGGATGTCGTTTATCTTCGGACTTATCTACCTCCTCCTAACATCCATCGCCATGGTCTTCGAAGATATCTACGGATTTTCCATCGAAATCGCCTCGTTAGCCTACCTAGGCCTCGGTTTCGGCTTTTTCCTCGGCATGTTCACCGTCGCAAAGACCTCGGACCCAACTATCATCTCTCTCACCAAAAAGAATAATGGTGTATACCTCCCCGAATTCCGTCTGCGCAACGGTCTCTTCTTCGCCTTTTTCATCCCCGGCTCTTTTTTCTGGTACGGATGGTCCGCTTACTATCGCGTTCATTGGATCGTTCCCATTCTGGGCTTGATACCATTCGGTTTCGGTACCATGGGTGTCTTTGCTGGTATTCAAACATATTATATCGATACCGGTAAACAATATGCAGCATCTGCGATGGCGGGGCTGACGGCGATTCGATGTCTGTTTGCGGCGTTTTTGCCGTTGGCGGGCCAGCCGTTATATAACCATTTGGGGTTGGGCTGGGGGAATAGTGTGTTGGGATTCATTGGGTTGGGCTTGATTCCGGCGCCGTTTTTTATTTATAAATATGGGGCGGTGTTGAGGGAGAGGTATCCGGTTCGGGTTGATTAGGTGGGTCACGAGAGAATGGGAATGGGGGTGATGATAGATTAGATACGTATGACGGTCGATGTTTTCATTTGTTGGATGTGATTACGGCGAGCCTGTTTGATGGGGTACCGGTAGTAATGATTTGTATAGAAGAACCGAAGAAACAACGAAGGAATGGTGGCCGAACAGTAAGAATACCCTCCTTTGAAGTTAGTTATTTATGCTCGAGCGTGGAATTAAGGAGCTCGAGAAGTATTGTAATATAGCCAAAATGTAACGATGATTCAAAATAAATGATATCTCATATTTTGAAATTGAGAGTTGCATCAGTAGACGGAGGAGAGTACGACGGGACGAAGGTAGGTCGAACGGTAAGTAATACGCTCTAGGTAGTCTTGTCGCAAGACTGCCCTGCCGTGGGACTCCATGCCCTTCATTCCGGAGCAGATGGCGCGTAATGAAAAGGAAGAAACGGACAAAACCACGCAGGTTGTACAACGATCGTCCACAGAGATTCCAACTTCTCGATGCATATTTCCCTGTGACTGTTTATATATTATCGCGACACTTCACTGTAAATACTATCTGCAGTCAAGAAGTTTTCATTCTGCGTTATGGAGTATTTATTAGAAGCCAGCGATGTGATTTCTTTTGCGATGAATGATTCAGATGACTTCTTGGGCGAAATCCCGACTAGTATACGCGATGACACAAGATGTCATTAAATTTGCCAGAAGAAGTGGAATATTAACAGTCCATTCATCCCACAACATTCATAATTTGCAAGCCACGAAAGCAGGAAGAAGTCACAATAATCGCAGAAACCTGGAAGCCATTCCATAGACCTCTTCATTGTCAGATTTCCGCTTGAAGAATACCCCTGGCTCAAGACCCACCATATCACCTGTGGTGGCAAGCAGAACTGATAATACAGATTTCAATGTTGTACGTTTTTCAATCATTCTCTGCGCTTATTGATTGATATATCCGTAATGCACGAAGCAGGTATTTCGTAACCTACAGCGATTTGCCCCAAAAACAGGACTAATATTCAAAAAGAAATTGAAAGAAAAAGATTTAAAGACTTTACGAAGTGTTAGCCTCCTACGGAATACTGGTTCTATTGGCTAAAGAGAGATAATAGCAAGAATAGCGTAGGAGACTCTAAGGAACTTAAGCCGAACTAGCTAAATGGGGGCGAGCTAGCTTAGAAGACCGACACCAGCCAGAAATGGCGTTCAATTCGATCTAAAGACTCAAGTCATTCAATGGATTGGATTAAGGCCTATAAATGCTTCATCTTGACAAATATGACTCAAACTTTCGAGACCACATAAGGGATTTGATAAGGACCGGTTGGCCTATTATTCATACGATCAGTATTGATAATGATTACTAATCAATCACTGCCGAACACCATGTACCGGTACACGGTTAGCTTCCGGCAACATCGGTAGCAATATGTACTTCGAAACTCGTGCACTCTATATTGATCGAATCTTATGATCTGTTGGGTCAATTGGGGCAAGGCTTTACCAAACTCTCGTATCAAATGTTGATACCAGAATCGCCATAAGAAATTGTCTGGACGGTGCAACATCCTTTTGATAGGGTAGACAATGCATCAGTGGAAAGCATGCCGAGATTGACATTTTAGTGTCCGTTTTCCACAGAGATGATAGAGCACCTCTAACTGAACACAAAACATGAGAGAAGATTCGTCTGTGTTATGGTGGTTATATGTAAAATATATCATAAACTTCGAAGAAATCTCGAGGGAGAATCGAACGTTCAGTTCTCTTTCGGAACTTTGCTGATTCAATTGGTCGGAACGGAAGAGCGATTCTCCGACCCATGTAAATAATTTCTTATGGGAAAATAGTGCCGCGAGAATAACCATCCCATGCGATAAGAAGATCGTCTGTATCCATTATGCTTCGATCGAAGCCTACCACATGTCTGCTCTGTTCGTTTAGAGCAGCTCAAAAGCCGGCGACCCAGAAATGGCCCAGCAGAGCTCTATCTATTACCAGGAAACCAAGACCAAATCGTATGAGTCTGGCGGGCGCAGGAAAAGTTAGTTCATCGCCGATGAGAGAGGGCCCCGCAAGAAGAAAACAAGATGGACCTTTTGGAGGAATGAATATGACAGAGGCGAATATCCGCGGAGTCCCAGAACGACCATCTGCAGCACAAGAATATCGATCATCGAGACTCAGTCGAGGGGATAAAGAGAAAGATGAGAGGGATGATAAAAAGAATAGAGGATTCCATGCATTGAAGATGCAGAGCGCTCTCGCGCCAGTTTCTTACACCAGGAGGACGAGTATAAAGGAAAGGATGAAGGAAGTGGAGAGTTTTGAGCATTTCGCATTGTTAAAAGGGGTGACGGAGGCAATTTATAAACAGGCTCTTCCAGAACTCGAGAGCCATATGCCGACGCCCGTACAGAAGATTGCCATTCCGGCGCTACTTGGGGAGCAACAGAGGAAGGGGAAGAAGAGTGAGGAGGAGTATGAGCAATTTCTGATCGCTGCGGAAACTGGATCGGGGAAAACGTTGTCATATTTAATACCCACGATAAATGCCATCAAAATTGCAGAGGCAAAAGATGCAGAGGTCGAGGCATACGAGAAGCAGCTACAAGAGGAGAAATTACGACAAAATAACCTGACATTAGTCTCGCCTCCATTATCGAATATGCCACATCCCACCACGGGAAGGCCAAGAGCCATCATTCTTGTGCCGACCTCTGAATTGGTAACCCAGGTCGGAATACTCGTCAAGGCATTTTCGCATACGGTTAAATTCAAGTCAGCAATGATTTCTGCTAATTTTTCGGGGAAAGTCATTCGTAACCGTCTCTTTTCTCCATCTGGAATCGATATACTTGTATCTACACCCCACCTCCTCTCTTCGATTGCAGACTCCGACCCAAATATTTTATCTCGTGTTACACATCTCATAGTTGACGAAGCCGATTCTCTTCTCGATCGAGGATTCTCGCCACTTACATCAGCCATCATCGACCGCGCTACTCCATCCCTCGAACAACTGGTTCTTTGCTCCGCAACCATTCCCCGCTCCCTCGACTCATTCCTTCGCAAGCGATTCCCCTACATAAATCGTCTAGTCACACCAAATCTCCACGCCATTCCTCGACGTGTCCAACTCGGTGTCGTCGATGTTGAACGTGAGCCATATCGCAACAACAAGAATCTCGCTTGCGCAGATACTATCTGGTCCATCGGTAAAGCAGCTGCTGAACACGATGGTCCCGTCAAAGGAGAAATGGATGTCAAGCGCATCCTAGTATTCGTCAACGAGCGCGAGAAGACCCAGGAAGTAGCTGATTATCTCGTCTCCAAGGGTGTAGATGCCATCGCCCTGTCTCGCGATACTCCCGAGCAACGTCAAAATGAAATGCTAGCATCTTTTACCTCACCCTCTAAACTCAGTATGGCAAAGCCAGGGTCTCATCCTGGATCTCTCTCGGACAATCAATCAAATTACGTACCATTTGGAGAGGTCGCCCCTCCACCGAAGAGACAATTACCTAATACCAAAGTACTGGTCACCACGGATTTAGGATCTAGAGGTATTGATACTGTGGCTGTGAGACACGTCATCTTATACGACGTGCCACATTCGACCATTGATTTTATCCATAGATTAGGCAGAACCGGACGGATGGGAAGAAGAGGAAGAGGTATAGTTCTGGTCGGAAAGGGAGATAGAAGGGATGTGGTTAAGGAAGTTAGGGATGGTATGTTCGAGGGTAAGGCGTTGATCTAGATGAACAGGATTGTATAGATGCGAATAGACGCATAATGTGTAAGCATATGATGGTTCTGGGAATTGGGTACATGGATACTGGAAGATCCCCGCTTGTACATTTATTGTCATGATATGGTATGATGCATGATGGAGGTATATAGACTCCCGCGCTGTGTGGAGTGATGCGAGACTGAAGCAGAACTCAGAATATTGATACCACTTTTGAAGTTGTTGTTATTACAAGGCTTGCCGCGATATCTGTACCAGGGACTGCACACTTTATTTGATTTTTCTCGTACATATAACTACGCCTTCGCCATCTATCGTGAGTTGATTATGAAACCCATTTCAAGATTCCCTGCTTGGGCGCCTATTCGTATCGCTTCTGGTACCTAGCCTTTCCTAGGATTGGGAAGGAATATGTTTGAGATACGATTCCAGCTGTGTTATCCTGGACAATTTGTCAAAATAAAAAGAACGAAAAAGAACAGGAAAAGAATTGGGGAATAGATGCAATGCAAATATTGAGATGAGAGATGTATATGAAATAAAGTTTTCCGGAATATCTCCGTTGCAGTTGGACAACTCAAAATATGCACCTCGTCAACGCATAAATGGAAAAGATGAGTCCGTGAGCCACATGGCCTCGTGGTTGAGAGTCGTGCATTTCATGGATATATGGCAGTTGAGTTGCACAAGACGAGAAAAGATTGGGGACGTCGGCGTAGAGGAATAGTCAGGCAAACAGAGATTTCGTAGACCATCGAGGGTATGGCAATGGTATTGCGTCCATGCATTTCACTCCTCGGGAATGGTTTCTAGGGCATATATCATTATCATGCCTTCATGTCTATTCATCCTGTGATCTTTCGATGCTGATCGAGGTTTCTTTCCCTTATTTGAATCTGAAGCATAGCGGAATAGGGACATGAATGAGGTTGGGAAAGGGAGTTGGGGGAAGGGTATTAATATGCAGAATGGAGAGTGGTTTTCTGATGGATAGGCGTGGCTGGTCATGGGCATTGATGTGGTAGTGGTAGTGGTAGTGGTAGTCATCGATGAAGATTGACGGGGAGTTGTTTGTAATAATGAGTAGATCGCCAATATGAGATGGTTGGTGAGGATTGAGGATTGGGGCTTGAAGGCTTGAAGAATTTGCGGGGAATAACGAGTAGTCTTATGTGAGATTTTAGATAGGAATCCAATGTATCCGCGCGGGTTTGCGCAGTGTCTTAGCCTCGCGGTTGGAAGTGACCTTGTTGTCGTTCAAAATTCGATTTGTTGGACCTTGAGGAATGATCCTTAAATGTAGGTAGGTTCGGCGCTTAGACTAGAAGTGATGCTTACGTAATAAACATGCCCAAGTCAAAAATATTGTTCTTCGTGCCGCCGCTTGCAACTCTTGTGGGATCCTATTCAAAAGAACCAAACATTGAATCAAATCTATCCCCCACTTTAACCTCCTGGACTCAGTGGACTGACTCAACAATCAATTATACGAGTATGGAAGTAATCATACGGCGAAAAGGATGAGATGAAACCTCTATTCGCCGTGCCTTAAGACATTGACACATTGGCCGAAGTTGTGGGGCTTGCACTTTTGCTCGCCGAGTGCCAATATGGTTGGAGTGAGGGGAAGATTTACAAGGAGATTGACCTAGTTGGTCGAATCAGATTTACATCACTCCGATTATTATTGTATGAATAAGTTCGGTAGGGGTGGAGTAGTTGTCCGAGCAGTCACCGTTCATTGATATGTTGAGCCTCCACGCATGCTGGTGTGCCACCACATACGCAACCACATACGCAGCTTGAAGGAATTGTTTTTCTACAATGTGCAGTGAGAGTCTTTCAGAGACAAAGCCACTTGCTATAATCTCACCAATGAAGTTTTGTTAACCCGCTTATCACCAATGACGTGGTCGTAAGCGCACTGAAGTCAGATGCTCAGCCTCACTTGGCCTGCTCAACAGCCACATCAATACTGGATCCTAATGGGTCGAGACCGTTTGACTTTATGGTTATTGGGAAAATTAAGTGACAAGATGCCCACATGCCAACATTCTCTTGGACATAAAGTTCACGAGCTCATGACTCTATCAGGGACATCACACTACATCTTCTCCGTTCGCACATTTCTACCCAAGAGGAAGCAACATTGTCACTCAATCAACGAGGCAGGATCTTTCTTACATATTGTCATTGTGACGTCTTCAATCTACAGTCATCCAAATCACTACCGGATCTTGACACCCCTTTCCGTCTTCTACTTATTAATACTCCCACCTCTGCCTCAAGCGCTGCGAGAAGGCCTCATTACTGTTCATCGCTATCATGAACGGTTCCGTTCCCCATAACACGATGGGGGACTCTGGACATCATTCAGCTGGCGACCATACTGCGCAAACCCTTCATGGTTACCCACAACCCCATATTATCGACATGTTCTTTCCAGGCTTTTCGCTCTTCTCAACCGCCCTCAAGAACTACACCACCATCGACCTCAACATCTACATTCCCGTACTCATGATTATTGGAATACTAATTTACTGTTGGCAATACCTCGAAACATGGTTCTGGATTGAACTCGACGCTCATTTCATGTCATCAGCGGACATTCGCGTCGACGATGAAATGTACAATATGGTAATGGCATGGGTAGCCGAACAAACATTTGCACAACGATCTCGTCGATTCGTCGCAAGTACAAACTTAAATAGTCGTATGTGGTTCATATGGAATGACCAAGAGGAGGAAGAAAAGGTTGATGATGACGATTTTGAAGTTGACGAGGAGGGAAATCCTATTCCAAAGAAAACGTCGGAAAAAGAGAAGAAAGTAAGATTCACGCCAAGCTTTGGAACTCATTACTTTTGGTACAAGAGAAGATTGTTACAATTTAGACGCTCGCAGAGTGCGATCCAGTCTAATTCTACTCTGAGCGAAAGGGAGGAAATCTGCCTTTCTTCGTTCGGAAGAAACCCTCGTATTCTCAAAGAATTACTTGGTGAGTGTCGCCAAGCGTTTGTCAAGAACGATGAAAACCGAACCATCATCTACAGGGGGGGCTCCAAAACTGGGGGTGAGCCTGATTGGACTCGCCTCGTTTCGCGTATCTCTCGCCCTTTTTCCACCGTTGTTCTCGATGAAGTGGTTAAACAGAAAGTCATTGCCGATATGAAAGACTATCTTCATCCATTTACACGACGTTGGTATTCTAACCGAGGTATCCCATATCGTCGTGGATACTTACTCCATGGACCACCTGGAACAGGAAAAAGCTCTCTTAGTTTCGCGATTGCTGGCTACTTCAAGCTTAAGATTTACATCGTTTCGTTGAATTCCGGGTCCATGAACGAGGAGAATTTAACCATGCTCTTCGGCGAGCTTCCCAAACAGTGTGTTGTACTTCTCGAAGACATTGATACAGCCGGCCTGACTCACACTCGTGATGACGATAATGACGACGATGACTATGACGAAGATGTCGGTCCGAAATCTCCTTTAAGTAAGGCGACTAAGACTTTGGAAGCCATGGCGAAGAAAAATGGCTCGAAGGAACAATCGGGCAAGATTTCCTTGAGTGCGTTACTCAATGTGATTGATGGAGTTGCATCGCAGGAAGGAAGAATTCTCATCATGACAACAAACCATATCGAGAAGTTGGATGAGGCACTCATCAGACCAGGTAGAGTGGATATGACCATTCATTTCGATTTGGCTAATAAGGATAATATGGAACAAATCTTCAGAGGTATCTACGCAACGCTTGAAGGAGATTATCCTGAGCCCAAGGGATCAGACAGCAGCGCTTCTGATTCTGGAAGCGTGAATTCTGGGTCCTCCAGAGGGAGGAGTCCGGCTAGTAGAAAGGGTATGCATAAGAAGAAGCCTAGAAGTGCATCGAAGGAAAGGAGAGTGCAGGTGGAGTTGGATCGAATTATTGCGGCGGAGGACGAACAGAGAAGGATAGAGGAGGAGGAAAGAGTAGCAAAATTTGCAAAGCTCTTTAGTGAGAAGGTTCCCGAGGGAAAGTTTAGCCCGGCTGAGATCCAGGGATATTTGTTGAAGCATAAGAGGAGTGCGGAGGATGCTGTGGAGGGGGCAGAGCGATGGGTCAAGGAGCGAGAAGAAGAGAAGGAAAGGGCAAAACTGAAGGAGAATGAGGAGAGGGAAAAGAGAGCGAAGGAGAAGGCGAAGTTAGAGTTGGAGATTGAAAAGTTGAAGAAAGAAAAAGGGGAAATTGAGAAGGATGATGACGAGGGAGAAGATACTGACAAAGTTGTGAAAGAAGTCAAAACGATCAAAGAGAAGACTGAGATCGTTATGAAAGAGGTGGAGACCCTGAAAGAGGAAGTCCTCGATGGAATGGGGGAAAATATACAGAAGATGGAGGTGGCGGGTATTAAGTTGAAGGATATTGAAATGGCAAAGGGGGAAAAAGCCACAGAGAAAGTAAACGTGGATACGTTTGAGTATGCGGAATCTGGGTCTCAAACTGATCCAGATGAGATTCTTGTCTAGAGTATAGTATGTAAGATTATATGGGGTATGTCAATTGGCGCAAAGGGAAAATAGGCATCGATACTACTTTTTTTGGTAGTTTGATATTCTGTCTTTGGGAGGTTGTTTGTTGGTGGGCATTGTTTTGTTTGGCGTGGATTGAAAGAGTGGAATACCGGTAGTATACAGGAAATGGGACGGAGTAAAGACAAACTACATTTAGATAATAACAGTAGAATTAGTACCGGTAGGTAACAAGTAACAATTAGAAGATGAATGAATGTGGATGAGAAAGGAGAGAAAAGGCTAGGGAGTTGGAGTTTGAATTAGGGGTTGAGTTGTATCAGTATCTGTATCTGTACATATATATCTATAGGAATATAAAGCTTTATAGTCGAGTTACAGTATGCCTAGATAGATTTTATACTCTGTAATATTCTTGTTCCTTGTTAGAAACAACTTTCATATACGACTACAACATGGTATACTCGTAAGTACTTTTCATTCATTTGATCTAGTGTAATGTATAAATGGTGAGGTGAGGTGAGGGAGGCAACTTGCTAGTTAGCTAACTAGCTAGCCTCACTAGAACATTCTAGTGTGTGCGTGGGAAGGGGCAATGATACTACTAGCTAGGTAGTTTTTAGTATCTGGTTAGTTGGTAGGTAGTAAGTATTTGTCAGATTAGTGAAAGGGCAGGAAACGAATAGAAGGAATAAGGAATAAGGAATAAGGAATATCAAAACAGAAATAGAATCTTTAACTTGAATCAATATTTTGATTTAACATGTTTGGGTTATTCGAGTACAATACTATGTGGTAGTACTATATGCATGCAATGGATGTTCAATGGTAATAGAATATCCTGTCTGTACTCTGTAGCACTTGTAGATCTCAAACTATGCCGTAAATGCGGGGGGAGCAGAGGGGGCCGTAAAACCAGTAAAGAATGAATTTAAAGTTAAGTCGTGAATTAATAACAAGATCGGTAATTTAATTGATGAATTGAATTCCATGTATAAAGCATTATATAGGAAAATCAATTTAGTAATAATAGACATATCATATTGAAGGGACGATTTATATATAATTTTGAATATTAATCGCTATTCTTTATATAGATGGATTTCTACAAAGCAGCACTAATCCGTCAATCTCTCCAACACTTGTTAAGATTTTCAGGCTACCACCCGCTTCCTAATCGCGCTAAGGAAGGCACAAATCCGGCAAGTACTTTGTACTACTTCGAGGTTAAGAGAAGACTCTACGAAAGAGTCAACAATAAAAGATAGCTGATCTCGATCTTTTATGTTTCTTCTTTGATAGATCTCACAACGATTCTTAAATGATCTCAGTCATTCCTTTTCCATACTGAACTTGAGAAAATCGATTCAACAATTGATCTACCTGCAGTTTGTCAGAATCCTACCTACAGTCGCATAACGGAAACTTTTGATTCTTCCACCATCTGCCAATTTAGAGCAGCAAAGGCTGCTCGCATTCACGACGTCTTCAATAAAGAAAAGAAAGCTTTCACCGGAGACCGTATCAGGTATAGAAACCAATAGAGGTCCTGATATCCCCATATCATCGGTGGAAGGTCGCGAATCACAATCCCCCACCACCGAACAGGCTTTATTCGACACTTCTGCACAAGAAAACCACCGTGCAGAATCTCTCCCTCCCAATACCATACCTTCACGTCTGCAAACTTCATCAATCCTTCCTATTGGAGATTGCAGTTCTTCTGCTGCCAGTTCACCAAGCGGAGCCTACGCGGGTTTATCGATAGATAGCGATAAAGGCGGGGAATTTGCGAGTAATAAAAACCGAAGACGATTTACTTCTGAGCCTGTCGAATCGGAGCAACGAGGCAAATCCTCAAGACATAGGGCTATCATGGGAGGCGCAGAAGATATTCCGCAGAGGTCGTCGTCACCGTTGAAACGGCCAGCCTCGGAACTAGAAACGGATGTGTTATTGTCAAGCCAAAAGGAAGATGTCGACATGGTTATGGTGCCAACCCCGGAAGAAGATACAGAAATTACTACTGCAGCTCCAACCGCAATCAGAGCAACATCAATCGATATGCTGAGAGATGAGCCTGCAGTAGTAGAAGCTATTGTCAGGGAGGCTCCTGCCGCCGAGAATGGTTCAATTTCTAGTAATAGCCACCCATGGTTGTTGATGAACTAAATTGCTGACATGTAGATGTAGATCAAGTCCCATCAATCGACGTTCAGGTTTCGACTGTGACAACTGTGTGCAGAGCTGAGAATGAGCGGCAACTCAGCGAGGGAGACAAAAGATACCTAGTTTCAAGGAAGTGGCTTGAGAGGGTCACTTCGAGAACCTCCGACGCTAAAGCGAAGAGCAAGGAAGCGTTGGATGAAGAGATCGGGCCAATTGACAACTCTAACATCATCCAAAATATCATTCCTCAACCCGGTCGCGAAGATTTTGTTCGACTTAAGCATGGAGTTGGGGAAGAATTCTTCGAATTGTTTCCGAACGACGCATGGGAACTGGTTTTGGAGTGGTATGGCCTGAAGAATGGCACAAAAGCAATCGTTCGATTTGCACACAACACAAACCCCGACAAAGATTCTGATGCAATTCCGAACGTGATCTACGAATACCATCCTCCAGTTTTCCACATACATCGTGTATGGTCTGAACTTGGCAATAAAGTGGATACAGCCACAAAGTTGGCAAATCCGGATGCACCTGTGATTGTCGCGAGTAGATCGATGAGGATGCATGACTTCTTAAAGATCATAAAGGAAGCTGCAGGAATCCCCATGAGCCAGAAAATACGCCTTTGGAGAGTACCAAGAACGTTGCCCGGCGCTGAGCCAACCATCTCTACTGCTGTTGGCACTGCTACTCCTCCCTCATCTAGACCTGGGACACCAATAGTTGACGCCAGCGCCATTAGCTCAGAAACTCAAGACTCGTGGAAGAAACTATTGTTGGATGTGACGGAATTCACCAAGGTGGAGAGAGATTCGGGCAGATTCAAGGTCGAGTTCGAGGATTCGACTGTGAATGAGAATTACAATGGTCGAATGGATTTGGATTTCTGTGCACTTGGGGATGATCAAGCACTCGTTATCGATGAATTGGTCGAGGGCAAAGAAGGCTATGTCTCCAACACAAAGCCTTCGCCGAATGGAAAACTTAATGGTGCCGGGCGGAAGGGCAACTCCAGTTTCATCGTCAGTAGCCAGAACAACAGTGGTCGCAGTAGTCCAGCGCCATCGCCATCGTCTGGATACAATCTTCGTTCTTCCAATCGAAGATCAAAGAATGGACGGATGCCAGGAACTGTTGGTCTCAGCAACCTTGGAAATACTTGTTACATGAACTCTGCTCTGCAGTGTGTTCGAAGTGTGGAGGAGCTCACTAAGTACTTTTTGGGTGACAAGTACAAGGAAGAACTTAACGGCGACAACCCCCTCGGCCATGGGGGCGCGGTTGCCAAATCATACGCGGTTCTTCTGAAAGAGATATACAAGGATCCCGCTTCAACCTCAGTCCAGCCTCGGCAATTTAAAAACGTTATTGGTAGATATGCCACTCAGTTCTCAGGATATGGTCAACAAGATTCCCAGGAATTTATCGGGTTTTTACTTGACGGTCTCCAGGAAGATCTTAGCAGAGTAAAGAAGAAGCCGTATATTGAGAAGCCTGATTCGACAGATGAAATGATTGGCAGCCCAGAAGCAATCAGAGATATGGCCACCAAGGTTTGGGATATTACAAAACAACGAGATGACTCGGTAATTGCCGATTTGTTCGCAGGGATGTACAAGTCCACTCTTGTCTGTCCAGAATGTGACAAGGTCAGCATCACTTTTGATCCTTTCAACAACATGACTTTACAGCTACCGATTGAAAACATATGGTCTCATACAGTCATTTTTTACCCACTCAACGATAAACCGGTCGCCATTGTGGTTGAACTTGACCAAAATGCAAGCTTTGCAACGCTTAAAAGTTTCGTCGGCAAAAAGGTGGGAGTTCCAGTGGATAGACTCTTCGCATGCGAGGAATTTCAGGGGAAATTCTTCAAATGGTATTTTGACCATCAAATCCCTTCAGAAACTAATGTGGTTGGAAACAATGATCAGATCATGATATATGAATTGGAGGCAACGCCTACGAATCTGCCAAAACCTCAGAAAGTGAATCATAATGCGTACGGCAATAACGATATTGGAGATGAAGAATTTTTACCATGGGACTCTCCATTAGCTGAGAGATTACTTGTGCCCGTGTTTTATCGTCGGCCCGTTCCCGAAAAATGGAGCAGAAGAAAGACATGGGAACTCACAACCGCACCTCATTTCATAATGCTCTCTCCTCAAGAGGTAAGATATTCCTACCTTCTCCCCATTCAAATTTCCCCTTTTCACATCACTGACTTTATGATAGGCACGAAGTGAAGAAGTCATCAAGCGAAAGGTTCTAGAAAAGATTGCAACATTGACCACATGGCCCCAACTTCGTGATGACGACGAGCCTTCGAGCGCGTCTGAAAGTATTGATCCAGACATAGTCATCACCACTGGCTCAGATGCAGACTCATCTGGGGATAGCAAATTTGTTGCTCATTCTTTGGATGGCGAAGATGAACTTGTCGACGTAGCTATGAAAGACCCTAACTCTGTTCATGAATCTGTTGAGAATCGTCCTACGTGAGTTGGTACCTTTCGAAACATGTCACACAAAGCTAATTACATGATAGCGCACCTCTGAAAATCTTTAACACTCGTCGACCAAAATGGTTAAATCCAGCTGTATTTCTTTCGGGAGAAATGCAGAATCTGTTTGAGGTTTCCTACATCGCTGGCCCAAAAGGACGCATGCCAACTGGTTGGAATGTCACTTTCGAAAGCGGCACATACAAAAAGATATCTGAAAGGAACCCCCAAGTACAACAGATAAACGGCGATGATACTTCATACGGTTATGATGCTATAGAGAACAGGGCTGGATCGGTTTCCAGTAAATCCAGCAAAGAGAGCAGCGATGATGTTGGTGGCCTTGCCCCAGCACCAACGAGGATGAATGATGAATCGAGCGATGAAGATATTGATCCAACTTCTCCCCGTAGAGTAAGTCATCCAGCCTCACCAGCTTCTTAGAATTTTTTATGGCTTGGTAATGAAGGTCCTCAAGTCGTAGTAATGCTAATTGATCAACAGGCTCTTCCTGTCCGACCGGCTGCGCCAAAATCTGGCGCCAGGGTAGGTAACAAGAATAAACGTCGCAACCATAACATGAAAACTTACTCAAAGAAGGGCAAATCAGCTTTACGAAAGCAGCCACAACTCGAGGTTGATGATGAACAAGATGCTCCTGATGATGGCCCTCTGGTTCGTCTTGGCGAAGGACTTGTTATCGATTGGAATGAGGATGCATGGGAGACTTTATTTGCCGGTAGCAACGATGAAGACGGTGGCAGACCTACCTTTGAACATCCTCCCACTCTCATAGATTCAGATCTTATTTCAAAGCGTAAAGCCCGTGATACGAGAAGGAGTCAAGTCATTACTCTTGACGATTGTCTTGATGAATTTGGCAAGGAAGAAATCCTTTCTGAGATGGATACTTGGTATTGTCCTAGATGCAAAGAACATCGTAGAGCAAGCAAGAAGTTCGAGATTTGGAGAACACCAGATATTCTTATCGTCCATCTCAAACGCTTCAGCTCTAGTGGCTTACGAAGAGATAAACTTGACGGCCTGGTTGAATTTCCTATTAATGAATTGGACCTCTCCTCGCGAGTTATTGAATCACAAGATGGCAAGGAGGAGATATACGATTTGATCGCTATTGATAATCACCATGGTGGTCTCGGCGGAGGACATTATACCGCTTTTGCAAAGAACTTCGTTGATGGCGAGTGGTATGAATACAATGGTATGATATATTTTAAAAATAAGTTAATGAGAAATGCCAACTAACTTGCATAGATACATCGGTGGCAAAGATAACAAATCCTTCCAGAATGATAACAGCGAGCGCATATCTTCTCTTCTACCGAAGACGTTCATCAGAACCTCTTGGTGGTAAGACTTTGCAGGAAACTGTAAACTCCTTCGATAATCAATCTTCGAGTGAGGAAGATTCGGGGGAAGGCTCACGCGTCGCCGGAAACTCCTCCCAACATGGGTCGTCGAGCGCCTTGAAAGGAGTCGAACCAGCTCACCATCAGCCAGATCTTCCTGGTTCGGAGGATGGCGAGGCGACGAAGACAGTAAATCCACAGGACACTGAGGACGTACCGCCTTATATCAATCATATTGAAGGTGGTGACCCATTTTCCGACTCCTATCATTCGGTTCCATTTCACGATAGCAACGTTCGAGAAAGTAGTGAAGCTGACGAAGGTATAGACATGAGCAGTGATTACAATAATGCTGCCCCAAATGTCACTGAACCAGTATGGGGTTGGGGAGGCATTAACGAGAATCTTCGAATGTTCCCTTCTGGCACAGGCTCCGAAGCCGGTGCTGAAGCCGGTAGTATAGACGGTAGCGTTGGAGTTGAACATGGTTCCGAACCAAGCCGAAGTAGCTTGGAACGTCGACAAATCGACTTTGATGATGCTCCAGCTGAAGATTTCCAAGAAGATCATATACCGGACACGGAACATGAGGGCCCAAATGTCATTGAAGTCATGGAAAAAATCGCTCAGAGAAAGGGACAAGGTTTCAACATTGTTGGTAATGATCAAGAAGAGGAAGTCGAGGAACCTGTTATTGAATTTCATATTGAGGATAGTGATTTTGTCGAAGATATGAAGTTTCTTTAAGCTTCTTGAGGTCTGTCTACATTGCCCTCCTATTATGGAGATGACTCTTATGGAGATGATCTTATCTTATCGGTTAGAAAAGGAGTTTTGGGATGGATGGACGGATGGCTATAAGTAGAGGTAGAATGGATGGATGGATGGATTGGTTGGTATGTTTACCTAGTCAGGGCAGGGCGGGGAATTGATTAGATAGATATGCAGAGATGATGTTGATGTTACTAGACATGATGTTATGACATGATATGATATGATATGATATGGCTTTTGCTTTTGCTTTTGCTTTTAGCATATGATTGATGAAGAGAGGTGGTGGGGTGGTGGCTGGGGGATGGTAGGGTGGTAGGGTGAGAGGGGGTGCAAGATATCCGAATTAAATGCATGCAGTGGAATGGAATGGGATGGGATGGGATGGAGTAAATATGGGTTTTTGATTTTTGATTTGGTCTGGTTGGTGGGGTGGATGTGGATGTGGTAGAGGTTATGGTTGTGGTTGTGGTTATGGTTGTGGATGTGGTTGTAGTTGTGAATGATGAATGAATGAATGAATGAATAAATGAAATGTATCAATGAAATGCATGGAACGAAATGCATAAACGCATAAATGTGAAGAGAGAATTGAATTGAATTGAAAGGAGAGAAAAGGAGAGGAGAGGAGAGGAAAAGAAAGGAAAAGAAAGGAGAGGAGAATCGGAGATATAAAAAATGGTAATGAGAATGAGAATGAGGATGAGATATGTTCTTGTAAAGGTAAGGGAAGGTAAGGGAAGGGAAGGAAGGGTATGTGGATAAAATGAGATGAGTTAAGATGAGATAAAAATAAAAATTTGAAAGTTGATGATTGAAAATTGAGATAAAGAATTGGGATACTATGTTTTTGTGAGGTATGAGGGTTTTTATGAGGGTTTTTATAGAGAGATTGGGTGAGGGGGAAGGGAAGGGGGATAAGT